GTGTTCAGCTTGGTGAAGCCTGTCACACGTACTAGAGTTTCAACAAGCTCTGCAGCGGTTGATAGATCCCCAATCTGCAATGAGTTTACCTTGGTTTGGGTACCACCGTTGAAAGCTTGATAGCGAATATTGATCAATTCACCATTGATGACTTTAGTTGGCAGATCGAGGGATGCTGAGTTCTGAGGAGGGCTATATTGAGGGCGGCTTCTCAAACCCTGAAGAAATTGGCGCAGGAAAAGCAAGGAACGGCTGAATCTTAGCTCTTCCGGGTGGACACTAGACTCAGATGCGGTGCCCGTGGGCCGGTCACTGTGTGCATGTGCAGGGCGTAGATTAGAAGCAGCTGTTTTGAGCTGTTCGACGCAGCGATCAACCAGCGCAATATGAGTTGCTTCAACTGCAGAGCGAGGGGAGCGATTGATCACACTATGATCAAGGTACACTTCAATGGCGTAGCTAGTTGCGTCTGCTTCAATGGTACCAGGCGGCGCAGTCAGAATCATGTTCCAGATTCGCTCCATACCTGGGATGATCACGACTTCATTCCCGCCAGCAACTGGAGGAGGGTGGAAGCGAATTTCATAGTTGACGGCATGTTTTGCGAAGTAAAGGACCTCTGGCGAGTAGTCCTCATCAGGTGAAAGCTTTGGCAGATACTCGGAAAGGCATCGCTCGATGAAAGGGTTCGCTTTTGTGGCACATCGTGTTAGAGCACATAGCCTGTCCCAGAGGACTCGTCTGCCCTGCTGCACGAGCGACTTTGACATCATGACCTCACGCCACAGGATATCGCCCAGATCTGCCGTTATAAACTCAGGGACGCTATCGATGATACGAGCCAGCAGGTGTATGCGCGAAAGAAACCCATTCCAAGAGAAAGTATCCTCAATATCGATTTGTTGATCGGCCACTGCTTTTGTAAGTTCGATTATCACCAAGCGCGTCAAATCGAAATCCTCGGCAAGCTTGCGGACGCTTTGATTGTCATTATTCGCGAGAAGAGCATTCAAGGCCTGAATACTGCCAGCCGTAAATTCGTTCATCTTGGCTAAGTCTTGGATGCAAAGCTCGTAGGTTTCCATTTTGTCGGACTCACTCAGACCAATATCCATAAAAGCACTGAGTTGATGGGCCGCAAACTTTTGGAGCTGGGCCTTGTGGTCCACGGACAGCTCGTCAGTGGCAGCGCTCTCCCGAATGAGGCGCACACAAAGGCGTAGCGGAATAGCATCCACATGTCCTAGGAGCTCGTGGCGATGCCGTTCACTGTGTTTCTCGCGCATATGGTAGAGCAATTGTTCGCAGAATTCGATCATTCGCGCATCGAAACGAGCCAACGGGAGTTCCAACAGCTTAGAGCAAAGGTAAAGCAATGTAGGCGACGTAGATACGTGCATATGAAAAGTTCTGGACAACATTCCCAATATTTCGGACACCGCTCGTGAATCCGGGCTCTCCGTTACGGTCCTCCATATCGTGTCGGTATCAGCGTCGGTATACGTGGACGTGACCACCAAAAATCCGACGACGTTCCCACTTCGGCTGATCAGCTGCGGGTGCGAATCGATGCCAACAATATATTCCACCATACGATTCCGCCTCAGGAAATCCACGAGGTATTGGACAACTGGGTGATCGATACCATCGGGGCTTGGCTGAATATACTGCCGATAGACAGTGACAAGATCGAGCTGCATCGTCTCCATGCCGTGTACTCTTAGTTCCATCCGCCCGTCCATGATATGCTTCTTCAGCACAGCGAACTTCCAACCATAATAGACAACGAAAGCCCGAGCTTCAAGCGGGATATCAGGTGGGATGTCAGCAGGAATCTGGATGGAGAGATCCTCCGCAATCTGGTCCGACCATTCTCGGCTCCAAAGGCAGAAGTTAAGATATGTGTGGGAGACAGCGCGAAGCATTGGTTCGCTGGTTTCGCTGGACAGCCAAGAAGACTTCTTGGTGATGTGAAATTGATACTTGTCGTCAAAAGCTCGAACCAAGGGGTAGAGCGCCTTGAGGGTACGGCTGTAGACGGGAGAATTGAGAAGTTCTTCGTCAACACCGTACTTGCGTCGCTCGACGCCCGACTCTACTAGGTTATTCACGATGTCGAGGACTAAGATCAAGGCCTGTGACAAATATGGCCACTGAGTTACCAAGCTCGTGAGGCAAGCCGCGAACTCGGACAGTCGCTTAACGATGTCATATGGAGGCGAGGCGAGTTTATCGTTGATACGTGTGATCATATTAGGGACTTCAATGCCAAAGGACTTCTCCATAGCACGGAAGAAAGGGATAAGATTGATCTGCAGTATCCATCCTAGCGACGGCAAATAACCTTTGGACAACAGTTCTGATGGCTGCAAATTCGGGTCCTTGACCGCCTGGTCCAGAAGCAGGGTATCGAGACGAACAATGTGGAGGGCCAGCTGGGCATAGCTGAGGATGAATTCTTCTAAGCAAGCCCACAGGGCCTCGCCTTGCTCCGGTACGAGCACCTGACTGCACAGATATCAGTGCCTATCCAAGGTTGTATTCGGCCGTTTTGAGGAATCACGAGTACATGAGGGTCTACTCACATCCGGCGTAACAAGCCATTCATCATGCTTGGTACCTCTTCCCAAGCGTCGCGGTCTTCTACCAAGACTGCATATGTTAACGATTTGATGTTGTTCACCACGTCGTCTAGCCACGTTTTCACAGCGCTGAAGATTGTGGTATCGAGGTCCGAGCCTGCAGGCGAGTTCAGTTTGTGTTTCTTTCCCACTTAAGCCCAGACGAGAGCCGTACCTTTCTCCAGGGCCACGCTAATCTCTTCCATGCTCTCGCGCGACTCTGTCCCCGGACGAAGCTTCGGAAATGTGTCTATCAAAGACAGATGGTCGTGAAGCTGTACAAGCTCCGGGGTTGCCGGTTCCCGCAGTGCCTCCCCCAGCGGCTTCCAACTCGACATATTGGGATCCTGGTCCATATCTTCCAGATCTGCCACCTCGATTTCCGGACTCTGCGCAGGCGAAGACGACAGGGATATTGCTGTGGGAGCTTCGACACCGGCCCCATCGGTGGGAACAGTTGGCTGGCTGGGACCGGCCTGTTTTGTCGGCGAATCGCTAGGAGCAGAAGCCATGGTTTCGGAAATCGGGGACTTCACGTTGATGGTCACTCGACTGGCCGGACGAGATGACGGGGAAGCTTCCTCGCCCAAAATGGCAGGAGCATCGGTGATGTGGTTGGGACCTTGAGCAGCGGAAGTGTCGTTGGAAATGGACCAGGAATCACATGCTTCACTGCCACTATCAAGACGGGGACGTTTTCGCGTAGATTGAGGGTCGTTATCTTCCATGGAATCACCAAAGGGACGCGTCGTATCGGCTGGGGTAGTGTCGGGCGGGGTGCTAGAGGTCTCTAGCGGGGCAGCTGCCATAGCATTTTTCTTAGCTTGGTGAAAGGGGGGAAAGGTTAAGTAAGGTGGGGGGTGGGAGGTAGTGTAGTAAATTGGATCGACTAGAGGTGGAGGATGGGGTTGCGAGGAAAGATGAGGAAGCTGATGAGAGATAGATTATGGTATGGCTGAAGAGACTCCTTAGAAGATGAGCACTGAAGGAGTGATAGGGAAGGAAGTAAGGTAAGATTGAGCTTAGTTGGTGCAGATTAGAGAAGCGGGAATAAAACGAGGAACCAACTTTTGTTCTTTGAATAGGAGGGAGGATGGAAAGCAGGCAGCTATCAGTTAAGTAGCTGATTCAGTTTACCCATTCAAGCCACAAAGGGACGGGCGACTGCTTTTTCTTCTCGAAGAACCGGAAGTAAGATGGGAGGGGAGAGAGAGAGAGAGATAGGAGGGAGGGAGGGGGGGGGAGGGGAGTGTATAGGTAGTTAGGTAGGTTGGATACAAGACAAGTAAGGGAAACGCGACAAGTTGAATGGTGAATGCAGACTGGAGAAAGTGAAAGGCGGAAGAAGTGAGCAGCAGCAGCTCTGACGTTGCTGTGGAGCCGCGATTTGGCGGGTTGGGAGGAGGGGAGGGGAAGGAAGAGTTCTGGCCAACGGCAGTCCCGCCAGTTGACATTATCTATTTTGGCGGTTTTATGCGACCATCACTACTGATCAATTCGGAGGAGAACCCATTTTGACCAGATAATGAATTCATTACTACATACTAGATCATTTCTGTGTTAGCCATGCTAAGGTTCTGCTTCCATCGAATGTAGGATTTTCCTATATATGTAGTAAACCCAGTGGAAGGCCCCAGGCCCCAGACCCCTAATCCCGAAAACCTCAGGCCATACAATCGTTCTCGTCATGAACCAACCCCTCCCCAAACTCCCAAACTTCCCCCGGAAAGTGACGAAATGTTTGTTGTCATTCTATCTCCATCAATCAATCTCTTCCTACAACGGAGACCTCTTCAGCACATCTAGGAATGTTGATCCCTGTCCTTTTTCAGCCCGAAGCCAAGCGTAATAGACTGAATGTGTCATGCAGAGAGAGTCCTAAGGATAAAAAACCATTAGCTTCTAGGCTAGGGGCGATGCAGTTCTAGGGCCAACACACTTGACACAGCTCACAGGTCAGGCACAGCTAAAAAGCCCCCGTGAAGCTTAAATTGATTCCATAAGTTAACTGACTCCACTTTGACTCCTTGACCCTTAGCGCGGGGTAGCTTCAGCCCCCTCTCCCCTAGACTATTTCAATACTTACGTAGTCTATCGCCTCGCTTGCTGCATGGTCCCGGAGAAGGACCGTTTAACCGGTCCCCACCAGACCGTCGATCGTCGCAAAACGTATCATATCCCCCGCTCAATCCCAAGGAATGCTTGTACTGTTTAGTCTACTCCTCAGTATGCATTGTCTAATCATCTACTGGCAGTGGCGATTTCTGTGGTACTCAGAATCCCCATTCCAGCTATCGACATTCTCGGCAATGACCGTAAGATCCTATATCACACGAATGACAATTTACAGACTGGAAACAATCACAATGTGAAGGAGATTCACTCGCTCATGGCGGTCTCAATTTTACGAATCACTCTCGCTGGATTGCCAACAGCCAAGTGAAAAGCAGGCACATCCTACGATCAGCTCGCGTCAGCATTGTTCGGCCTCTTCAATCTCCTTAATCCCTTCCAAAAACTCACCTTGTTGACCACACTGCCAGCTCCAATAACTGCCCCCTTTCCGATAGCCACTCCAGGCAATACCGTCACGTTGCCTGCTAGCCAGCAGTCTTCTCCAATGTGGATTTCTTTTCCAATCTGAGGACCCTTGAAGCCTTTCCGCTCGGCTGGGTCTAACGGATGCGTGCCGCTGTACAGACTGGCCCGAGGGCCAATTAACGTGCGCGCCCCGATTGTTATTGGACTGGTGTCGATGATGACTGCATCGAAGTTGATAAAGACGCCCTCGCCCACTTTCAAATTGTGTCCATAGTCGGTTCGAAATGGAGGTTCAATCCAAGGGTAATGTTCTAGCTGGATATCATCGTCCAGAGGGTCCTCTTGAGGTGGAGGGAGAGGGGTCTGATCATTCACAATGCTAATTTTATCAACAAGGCTTGGACGGCAAGTGATCGAATCGTGGCGAAGGTAGAGATAAGATGTGTCTGGTAGGCCGTTGGTACTTACTCTTTCCAGAGCTCCAGCATTTGCCGTCGAGAGACCTCGCCTGCATTATTGAAACGGCGACATGCACGTTGGCACCGAGCCCGCGCAGCTACGAGGTCGGCGACGGACCTAGAGTCAGACTGTTCTTTCTGCATCGACTCATAGCTATTGGAGAGGCAATGCGTTTGCTTGCTGTCGCTCGTTGTTAGAGACGAGGCTTGCTCGTATCCTCTTGTTGCCTGCGTTGGCTTGGGTGGACTCCGGGCCTGGGAGAAGGGTAGAGTGAGCATATGCCCAAGGGGAGGCGAGAGAGGGGCTTGGATCATTGAGAAAGACATGGGTGTTCGAGTAAGCTTGATGTATTCTATGATTATGCCGTCTATGTTTGAAAGTCTCTCACATATATACCGATTTTCGTGAGCAAGGCGTCATAGGTTGGCGCTTGCTGGATTCGATGCCGTACAGAGAAGGCCAGTTCGATGGCAAGTCATTTGTCAAATCACGCTCTGATAACGATGAAATAACCCGCCGAGCGGCATTCTTGGAGGGTATGCTAACTGTCATGATTTCGTTTAGAGTATTGCTTAGTTCGTAGGCCTGGGGAGGATGATACCCCTTTCGGCGTGTGACAGTCCACTTCGAGTCCAGTACATAGACAGTCAGATGGCGTGCTGGAGATCGATATCTGTACCTGATTTTTCTGGGACTGATCGTCTGTTGATCATTGCTAGCTCAGCGATCTGGGGCTATGTATGAGAATCCTTCAATCGCAGCCCTGCGTAAGGACTATGTGCATTATCGATGAGAAAGACGCTTAGAATGTCATAGAGTCCAAAGTATACTCCCACGTAAGCAAGTATATTTCCCACGTAAGGAAGAATCCACAGACTCCCCATTGATGGTAGAACAGCCAGCGCCATATGCACTTGTCCTCATTGAGTAGTTGGAGAAGAAGCAGGCCGTGAGCGACTTCTCCGGTTCGCTTTATCTCTCCCAAGCTGCATCTGATTGACGCACCAGCACCACTAGCTGTTCATGACCGTCGAAGACAGCCTCATGCTCGTGATGGAACGGCAAACAAAGGAAGGTCCTTGAAAGAGTTCGTGATTCAGGCCGAACTATAAAATCGCCCTACAGCAACGGGACCAGGGTTTCCGACCAATCATCATCCGTGCAGGATCACCTTATGTAAGCCCGGCGGGCAAGACCATGGAATCCATGGAAATCCGCGCAGCGCAGAGGTAAAGTCCCAGGGGAGGGAAACGAAGCATCAACAACAACAACAACAATCATTGTTGTCGTCCACGCCCGCTGCGCTGCGATTGTTCTCGCTCGCTTTCCGCCGTCCGCTCGTTTGTCACCAGACCCCTCGAACCATGCTCAGGCACTAGCAAAACCATAACAAAATCCCCGCATCACCCCCTAAAGCGATGCATCACCGACATTACCACAACCACCATGACTAAACACCATACCCAGCTTACAACAACAACCACCAGAACCCCCCTAACCGTCAAGATGAGCAGCACTCCACCAGCCACCACAACCCCAATCTCCCTCACAGCTCCCCAATACCGCGCCTACCAACCCTCTTCGCACCCGTCGACCCCCTCCGCATCCGCATCCGCACGCGCATCCGCATCGCCATCCCCCTCACCACCAACACCGCCCCTCGACCCTTCCAACCTCCCCACCGGCACGAAATCGCTCTCCGGAATCTCGCTCCGCGCCTTCCTGCTGGGCACCACCCTCGGCCTCACCGCAACCCTAACCCTCCACCTCCTCCTGACAACCACAACCCCACTCTGGCGCCTCCCCTTCTTCCTCGCAAGCCTCAGCCTCTTCCACTTCCTGGAGTACTACACCACCGCAACCTACAACCCGCGCTTCGCCGACACCACCGCCTTCCTCCTGACCTCGAACGGCTGGGCCTACAACGTCGCGCACGGGTCCGCGATCCTCGAATGTCTACTCACCAACATCCTGGCCCCGGCGGGGGCCACGTACCATTACCACCAGCACCCGGGCCTGTCCCGAATCTTCGCCTTCGAAACCTTGGACACCTTCCATGAATACCGCCTCGAAATCAACCTCCCCATATGCCTCGGCCTCGCCCTCATGCTCCTCGGCCAGACCATCCGCTCCGTCGCCATGGCCCAGGCCGGCAGCAGCTTCAACCACACCGTGCAGGTCGCCCGCCGCGACGACCACCGCCTGATCACCCACGGCGTCTACCGCGTGCTGCGCCACCCCTCCTACTTCGGCTTCTTCTGGTGGGGCATCGGCACCCAGCTCGTCCTGGGGAACGTCGCCTGCCTCGTCGCGTATGCCCTCGTCCTGTGGCGGTTCTTCCGGCTGCGCGTGCGGAGTACGTCCCCTCCCTTTCCTCCTAAAACCTATTTCATCGTTTCCTGTTGGGATTGGGTCTTCTTTCCGGGTGTTGGGTCGGGCTAATTTGATATTTTCTCTGTGTCTAGGAGAGGAAAACTACCTCTGTGCTTTCTTTGGGGATCAGTACCGGGAGTATCGGAAGAGGAGTTGGGTCGGGATTCCGTTCGTTTGAATTCAGGGAGTTTGCATCCTGTTTCTTTATGAAATTTGAGAGAACAGGAAACTGGCTGTATATTGGGGGATGTCAGCGTTGCGAAGCAATCCGGCCACGTGATTCCATAGGCCTTTTCATCTTGTTTACATGCGGGAATGTAGCTAGTTCCACCAACAACCAACCACCAAGAAAATCAAGAAAACACGTTCCAGAAGCCTACCTCGGAGACTACCAAATCGCCGTCAGGAGACATGCGGGCGTAGTAGATATGGGAGTCGGGTTGTGTGATATCTGACATTTCCCGTTCATCATTTTGAGATTCAATACGTACTGCACTGTACATTCCAATCGGATACCAAAGATCTATAATATCGATGAGACATCACCTTAGGGCCAAAAATATATTCGCAGTGGTGTGCAGCAGTCGCGTGAGTGGTATCAAATATTCCAGAGTAAAGCACCAGCAAAAGCAACTCCAAACGCCCTCGCGCTCATTGCACAGCAATCGTCAGCATGCATGCATGCATCCCACCTCCCTTCCTTATATACAAAACGTGGCAACGCGGCAGCTCAGAGTTTACTCTCCCTCGCAGCGCTTCCTAGGGCACCACTCATCAGGAACGCCCCTTCAGCCTCCATCCCCGCCTCTCCCTCTCCCTCCACAGCCGCAGTCCCCGAATCACTCATGTCGGCCCCATACAGCACCATCTCCCGCCCGCCCCGTGTACTCCACCACGTCACGCAGAAATGCGCGCGCTCCACGTCCATCTCGCCGTTGCTCAGGGCCTCCCAGAACCGCTCCACGCAGAGCTTGTGCATGGCCGGCGCGCGGATCGACGTCAGTAGCTGCGCCGTGAGCGGAAGCCAGTCCTCTAGCTCGTCCACGTGCAGGAAGCAGAGACTGTCGATCAGAGCCAGCGTCAGGGCCGCCTGCTCGGTCACGGGCGGTGGGGCGTTAAGCTCAGGGCCCCCGTCGTCGTCGCCGGGCGCCGGCTGCGGGAGGAGTTGGTCGGAGGTGGCGTGCAGGGCTCGGCTGTAGAGGACCTCCAACAGGACGGAAGGGAGGAGAGGCTGGCTGTTTGCGATGGGGGAAGGTGGTGCCGTGACTTGAATGACGGTCTTAAAGGCGAGCCGGAATTGACGGGCAGAGAGGTTGTCGGGGAATACCTATGGGCAGTGGGTTAGTGCATTATCGTACCAGCAGCAGAGACGGCATGACTCACGGCAAAAAGATTGTCGATGTAGAAGGGTAGGTGTTTGGCTGCAATGGCCGCGTTGCCGGGGACGGCGAAAACAGCCAAAACCACGCTGTGGGCGGCTTCAAAAATCTCAAGAAGATGGTTGTTGCCGCCTGCCGGGAGATACGGCGTCGCAGCAGCGATAAGCAACTCCTCGCTGAACGTGGACGACAAGACGGGAGTAAACAGCTCGGATGTATTAAGGAAGAAGAGATCCAAGCATCTTTCAGCCGGATGGGCAGGGATTTGACCCAGCTCGCTGGGTTTGATGCTTCGAAGGAAGTTCTCGCTCAAGTGGGGGTATTGCGCAAGGATATCCACCGCAGTCAAGGTCACAAACACATGCTGCGATGAAGCATTCTGGCCAATGCGAGACGAGATGAAATAGAGGTTGCGAAGTATGTGCAGAGCTTGCATGGACAGGTACGGCGCACCTAGCAGAGGTTAGCATTGAGACTCAGGACGAGATTCCAACCGAGTCACTCACTTTGATGGGCAGCCAGTATATGGTCATTAAGAACTCTCCCAAGAACAGCCCGAAGAACAATCACGATTGAATACAAGCAATTGCGAAGCAGTTTCCAGAGTCCCGGGATTGTGCTCCTTAGCGACTCCGGATCGAGGAAGTCCGCCTCTTCAGCCCGATCGACTTCCGACAGTTTGTTCTGACGCCACTGAACCATCAATGTCCGCACAAAATCTGTGATCTGATCCAAGCATCGCGCTACTAGCCCTGGATCTTGAACATTCTCAACCGCGTGGGCAATAAGTCGGGATAGAGGACCCAAGGCCGACACGAGCGGACTCGATGAAATTGTCGTCACGCGAAGAAAGGTATCGGACTGTGGTGACCACTGAAACCGTTTCCCCGGCGCCTCAACAACATCCTTGTCAACGGTCCCAAGAAAGTACCCTCCTTCAAGGCCTTCCGGCGATGCGAACGTCGCATTGACCATGACGGGCAATAGGCGATCGTAGTCCAGCCTGCTCTTCTCGTAGTCGGATATGAGCTCGAAGGTATAGTTCAGCACCATGGTGATGCACCGACCATCAACCTCATTCTGGGGATCCAACTCCTCGAGTGCAAATTGGGCGGCCGTCACGAGTGCCGATTCAAGCTTCCTCCGGACCTGCGATGGTAAACCCTGTCTGTTTTGGCCTTCGAAGCCCAGGAGGACCCCGCCAATCAGAATAACATGTCGCCATCGCGGCGACTTGTCGTCTGCTCCGTTGACTACCGCTTTGACCCAATCTTCGCGCTCAATTTTCCGGGGCTTCATGTATGAGACTTTAGGATCCTCCGGTTCTTCATTCTGCAGAAGTGCGATGGCGGCAGTGTTGAAGACGCTGAGGATCTTTCGACATGCAAGAAGATCGGCAGGACCATGCCACAAGGCGGGGGCGGCTAGCAGATGTGATGCAAGCAGGGTGATATTCAATGGGTTTCCGAGCACATATAAGAGGCTCGTTGCCGTCGGAAGCAAGCTGACAGGACAGATAAGGCAGTCAGTGAATGTTCTGGGGCCAGCCGGATGCAGTTGGACTTACGCGAGGACATCATGCAAATCCGACGAGGTCTGGAGCGACCGCAGAAGAGCGCCCAAGGAGCGCTCTGTTGCCATCTCGGGGGCTGGAGATTGTAGTTGTGTCCGACAATAGGGACATGAGCTGCTGAAGAGGACGTCCTTAGGACGAGAGGGAGAGATAAGACGGAAGAGGGCCGCGGCGATGTTACCGCGGAGAACCCCAGATCACCTGCCGAGGTTAAAAGTGGGTACTTCTAGCACAGTCTGTAACAAACGGTGCAAACAAGCTTGCAGCCATCATCGGCCGTTGCGGATCTTATCAGTTGCTCCCTCTTTCTCCTTTAACCCCGTTGCAAGTGGATGGCATTTTAACGTCTAGCTGCTATTATGGTTTCGTCATCTGCTCAACAAGCTGTATAGTTTCTCTCACTGGAAAGCAAGAATTTTCGTCTTGTGATCAGATGGCCAATAATCGTGTACCGATCAACTACCAGACGCCGCCATTCCCCTCCCTCTATGAGCTACTGCCGGCGAGCGAGTCCCGAGCTAATTACCTCTACTATACACGGGACATCTGGCGATTTACTTTCTACTGGACCTTTATCTTCTATGGAGGTAGCCATCTCTTAGTCGCAGCATGGGCTGTGGCAATGCAATGTCGAAGTTGGAAGGCTTGTCTAGCTGTGCCCGCATTCTACCTGGCCATTGGGGGTATAGAGGCGCTCCTAGCTGGGAGTATCGTTGGCCTAGTGTGAGTGTATTAAAGTCTATATTCTCGCTGCTGAATACGTTTACTAAATATGGAACAGTCTCGGTGCTGTCTACGAGGCAGGTAATTTCAGAATGTCCACCTGGATTCCCCTTCTATGGGGTGGTATTAATGTTCTGGTCCTCATTCTATCGAGTTTCCCAATGCCAGGTGGTCTATGAAGAGAACAGATCGAAGGTCAAGATCCCTTCATGATGCTCATTCAAGTACAGACATGCCCGGTCCCCTTGCAGGCCAGGGTTCAATGCATGCTGTTTATGCCTAATGATGTATCGGAGTACAGCTTGTTCCTGGAGGACTACAGGCTAAGGGACTACAGGCTAAGGCATTACCTAACATGTGTGCATATCACATGGCGAATCACCAACATACTATGGTGGCAGAACTCTAGGACAACATAAATCTATCAATCCAGGAGAGCTATCTTCCGTACCCATTGTCGGGTGCACCGCCACCACCCAGTCCGGGCAGACCTCCAGGCATGCCGCCATGATTCAGTGGAGGGAAGTTTGGTGGTAAGGGGATACCTTGGGACATAAGCTGTTTCTGAAGCTCCGCAAGGTCGGCGTTCGATGGTGGAGGCCCCGACATGGCGGGGTGCATCGGGTAGCCGGGAAAGCCTGTCGTTGGGGGGTAGTTATTCGGCGGGGGCGGTGGCTGGCTAGATAGGTATTGTGCCAGGCGGCTAGGGTCCATCGGAGGCATCGACGCAGGAAAGCCAGGCTGCGGTAGAGGTTGAGGAGCGCCGATTCCTGGCAATAATGAACCGAAACCATCCTGCAGAGGTACACCGCCGGGTTGCGCCTGGATTCCTGGTAGGCCTGGGGGTCCAGAAGCTTTCTTCTGATCAACCAGACCCTCGGCCTCATCCTGCAGCTCTTGCTCCTCCTCCTCACGCATCTGTCGTCTCCCAAACCCACGACTCCATGTTCCTTGAGCCTCCGCCGCCTCTTCTCCGATATGGAATCTGTCTTTCATGTAACTAGTTTCTCCGGGCCTAGATCGAGACCAGAAACGGGTGAAATTATCCTTCGAACCCGAGGCAAGAATGTGACCAAGAGGGTGCCAATCGAGTGACCAGATAGTGGCCCCGTGTGCGTACTGTACCCGATGAGCGGGGTATATGACTTGTGCAGGTGTATTTGCGGGGTCCGGACTGTCGTACGGAGCAATCGTAGGGATTTGACCAGATGGCAGATTTGGCTCGTCGAGTAGGTAATGATACAATGAGCCGTCCTCGCTGCCCGTGGAGATGAGGGAACTGTGAACGGGATGCCATGTGAGAGAAGAGATTGGCTTTTCGTGACCCCGCAAGATGCAAATATCTCGCATCATTCGCAAGTCAAAAACTCTTGCCGTCTGGTCACGCGACGAAGTGGCAAGCAGATTGCTATTGACGCGCGAAAAGCGTGTCGTTGTGACCGTATTTTTGTGGCTATGGAGGGTTGTCAAACATCTTGTCGTTCGAGGATCCCAGAACTTGACCTGGTGATCTTTGGAGCCGGAAACGAGAAGTCCCTTGGTAGGGTGCCAATCGCATGACTTAACGTCCCAATTGTGTCCTGTCAGGACAGTGTCGCAAGTCCTTGCGGTGAAGTCGAAGATCTTGAGGGTGGTATCGTCGGAGGCCGAAAGGAACTTGGTGTCGCTTGGAGACCACGCCAGATCTCGTACGGCGTCGTGGTGTGCATCGTCAATCGTCTCGACGTTGTTGAAATTGGGCCGCCAATACTTCACATCGCCCTTCTGCCCACCCGAGATCAACCAGTCATGGCTGTGAGACCACGCCAGCGAGGTAACGCCCGCTTGTAATTGGTCATAATGCGCCTGTACATCCCATCAGCAAATTCTAAAATTGTAGACCGCGTATGATAAGGAACCGGCAATACGCACGTCCATGACCGTTTCGAAGTTAAACGCAGTTCCGTTCCACAGCATGAATTCTCCGGTGTGCCCACCCGTCAAGAGACGCCTTCCCTCGGGCGTCCATCTTACAACTGTGATCGGCTTCTTGGACTTCCCAATAGATTGGTGCAAGTGTCGGACGGGAATCGTGTCAGCGGGGTTGTGGATTCGTGCTAACGGTGGCAGCATCTAGACAAAGAAACCGCGAGCATATTAGTTGATTGATCTCAAACCGGCTGGAAGATTGCGACTCACATCAATCACATAGCTCGCACTGGGTCTTTCAATCTCCATGCGATGGCCCCCCTTGTACCGAGGCTGTCGTGTGCGCATCCATTGTACCAGCGAAGAGCCATAGTCGGTTACCAGTCCTAAAATTGGGCGGCGGTTAACGAGACCTTTCGCGACGGGCAACGGATGAGAAAATCAAAACGTACTTGGTCGTCGCGGTCCCACAATGTTGCCTTCGTAGGATTTGGGAGGTCTTCCAAAGGGCTGGGAGTCTCCAGCAGAGTCATCGTAATAAGCCATCGCAACGCAGTGGAGAGGTCGAGATAATCGGAGCTAGGGATCGTTGGGGAAAGTGTAAGGCAGGGAAAGAGGATGACGGAAAGATGGGCGAGACAGTCGCAAGCATGGAAGAAGGCCGAATACGAAATCGCGCAGGAAGCCAGACCTCAACCAAAGTGGTAAGACCCCAGCTAGAACCGTCCCAACATGTCGTGCATGCAGGAGCTTTAATTAATTGTTCGTAATAAAGAAGGCGAATTAGTGTTTGTCCTCTAGGCTGACTGGCATTGGAGCAATTTGGAGGAGTTGGACGGTGAATAATGAACGAACTAAACTAACTTCGGGGAGGGGGCGGCGGTGCGGCAGAAAGCATCATTGGCCGGGGAAAGGGAATCGAGGAGGCCAACTGGCCAGCCCTGGGACGAAGTACTTGTACTGTTACCTTGACTGCAGGCTGTTGTAGCTTTCTTGGATTCTTGGACACCCACCCTGACCTGACCCCCCCGGTCTCCTTCCTAACTCTGTAGCCCAAGGTTGCAGCACGTTGCCCTGTCAGATAAGCAGCTAAAATAACGGTCTTTTTGCAACAGAACTAAAAAAAAAAAAACTGCTCCCAATAACTAACCTACTGGACCTAGAACTCTTATTGAACCCCGCCGCGCTGCTTCGGGTCTTTCCACAGAATTGGTCCCTTTCCTCTCCCTCCCCACTGCTCTATAATTAATCCCTATCTTCCCCCTCTTCTCTTCAGTGTCTCCTGTCATGATATTTGAGTGTCTAAACCCAGGTGGGATCCCTCATCCTGCGTTCCGCTTTGTATCTCCGCAATTGTCTTTGACCGTTACGAGTCTTTGTCCGAGCGAACCACCTCCTGGGACAGCCATCACCCAACCTCCAAGCTGGGATGTGAGCTTACTGGATGAGTTAGGGGTCTGAAATTGTCAACGCGATTTCATCCATGCATTCCGCCGAAGAGATCTCCGACGCGACAGGTGCTGTGAGCACCGGCAGTGACGACACTCTTTCGTCGTCCGCGACCACAAACCGAAAGACATCTACAAGTGGCGCAAATGGCGCAGAGGGCCCAATTGTTGTCAAGAAGGAGAAGAAGAGAAGCAAATATCGACATGTAGCAGCATATCACGCCAAAGTGCGTCATTCCAGTCTCACGCGCGAACCCAATGTGACGGCGAGTTTCCTCGGCTTTCGCAATTTGATGGTGATCGTCCTAGGTGAGATTGACCTGGCCAGTCTTGCTAGAGCGCTCCTGCTTGGAAAATGCTTATATTCTTTTTTTTTCGCTTCAGTGGCGATGAACCTTCGACTCATCATCGAGAACTTCATGAAGGTAAGATCCTCTGTCATGTGGAAGCAACTGAGATGCCGAGGCTAACGGCGCCGGGTAGTATGGCGTTCTGATCTGCATCAAATGTCATGACTACCGCAAACAGGACGTGGTCTTAGGATCGATCCTCTTTGCCCTCGTACCATATCATCTTTTCATCTCCTATCTCATTGAGTTGACTGCGTCGAAGCAGGCCAAGCAGGTCGTCGGCCAAAGAAAGAAGAATGGTTCCGCGGAGGCAGCTGAGCGCGATCAGCGGACTTTCCGGCTTACCTGGTGGCTTTCTGCTTTCTTCCATTGCATTAACACTCTATTAAGTCTTGGGGTCACCAGTTTCGTCGTGTACTTCTACATCCATCACCCTGGAATTGGCACTCTGTGTGAGCTGCAGGCCCTCATCGTCTCGTTCAAGATCTGCTCGTATGCTTTCACCAATCGCGACTTGCGCGAGGCAATGCTCAACCCATCTATGGAGTCGGCACTCCCGGAGATCTACTCGTCCTGCCCGTACCCCCGCAACATCACTCTCGGAAACCTCATCTACTTCTGGTTGGCCCCTACTCTAGTTTACCAGCCCGTTTATCCGAGGTCATCACACATTCGATGGTCCTTTGTGGCGAAGCGTTTGTTCGAGTTCTTTTGCCTGACTGTATTCATCTGGCTTCTCTCCGCTCAATATGCGGCACCCGTTCTCCGGAATTCCATCGACAAAATCGCTGTGATGGATGTTGCGTCGATCCTAGAGCGGGTGATGAAACTATCCACCATCTCCCTTGTGATCTGGCTAGCTGGCTTCTTTGCAGTGTTTCAGTCGCTGTTGAATGCGCTAGCCGAAGTCCTGCGCTTCGGTGACCGCGAATTCTATACCGACTGGTGGAACAGCTCCAGCCTCGGAGGGTACTGGCGGTCGTGGAATCGGCCTGTGTATCTTTTCATGAAGCGACACGTGTTTTCACCACTCGTCGGACGAGGGTGGAGTCCGCTCGCGGCGAGTACTGTTGTGTTTCTGGTCTCCGCTGTTCTCCACGAGATGCTGGTTGGAATTCCGACACATAATCTGATCGGTAAGCAAGACAATCTGCAATTTTCTTTTCATGGATTCTGATCAAACGCAGGAGTCGCCTTTGCGGGGATGTTGTTCCAATTGCCGCTGATTGCGATCACGGCCCCGTTAGAAAAGATCAAGGACCCATCAGGCAGGGTGATAGGAAACTCGATCTTCTGGGTTAGTTTCTGCCTAGTCGGTCAACCTCTGGGAGCGCTGTTATATTTCTTTGCCTGGCAAGCGAAATATGGCAGTGTGAGCAAAATGGAGGTGTAGAGCATTGTTTGCTTTGTTTCGTCACTTTCCTCCAATTCAATGGCAGTAAACGGGCTAGGGATGGCTTGAGTACCTCTGCAATTTCCGATGGATAGAATCAACGCAAGAAGCAACAGAGCGACACTTCAACCATAGCTAGAAGAGAACCTCCTAGAAGCATCATTACTGCTTACCGATCAGCAGGCAGCAAGACGCGTAGACTTGATTAAGAGGTGGTGGGAGGAATTCCCAGCACGGAACCCCGGCTGTGCGAGGGTCCGCAGGGAAAGCTTAAGATCCGTATCCGGCCGGGATCCATACAAAAACCACGGCAAATCTGGCTTCATCAGCCACACGAGCAATATCACTAAACAATCTCACCATCTCCAACCAACCAATTTGCACTCTACCCAATCCATTTCTATACTTCCCCATAATGTTCACCTTGACTGTTCCTGAGGGCTACGGGTAAGTCACTTCGATTATCTTATCTATCCGCACACCTGGACTAACGTTTGTATCTGTTACACAGCGCCGTCATCGCCGTCGCGCTGGGCGCCATCCCCGTGCTGGGGTTCGTCCACGGCATCGTAACGGGTAGCACCCGAAAGAAGGCCCAAATTCCCTATCCCCACACCTACGCGACCGTCGAGCAATGCAAGGCTGATGTGAGTGTTTCCTTGCCTCATTCCCGTCGTTCCATCCCCGCTGCCCTCCAACCCAGGCATCAATTGCGCGGAGTCACTGACAAGGACTTTAAAAACAGCCCAAAGCCGAGCAATTCAACTGCGCCCAGCGCGCGCACGCCAATTTCCTGGAGAACTCCTCCCAGACCATGCTCTTCACGTTGGTGGCCGGGCTGAAGTACCCGCAGCTGGCGGCGGGCCTGGGCGCGGCGTGGGTGGTCTTGCGGGCGCTGTTCCTGCACGGATACGTGTACTCGGGCAAGTCGGAGGGTAAGGGTCGGTACCGGGGGGGCCTGTTCTGGTTGGTGCAGGGGGCGTTGTGGTGGTTGACGGTTTTTGGTGTCGCGAAGGAGTTATTTTAGAGGGGTGCGCGGGTTGTCTTCTGGATGGAGTTGGTGAGGCTAGGGAAGGGGGTTGAGGATGGGTTGATCGTCCTGTGTACTAGTATAATAGGTAGTGCATATTCGCGAGGGAATCTGTTGGGTTTGTATTGTTTATCTGAGTAATTTTGGATGTTGAAGCTCTGGGTGAAGACTGAATGATAGGGGTGGAAACTGGTTGCTGAGGGAATGGTGTTCACTAGGGGGGTCAGGATAAGTGTGCAAGCAACAATCGCAATGGTTAGCAGATCGTAGTCTCTGGAAATGATAGCTTGTGCTCGGCATCTTGAGATACTAGGCTTAGCAGCTGTCTGCATTAAAAGCTCGGCGGAGAAGCTCTCAGGGCGGCCGCCTCGGCGTTCGGCATTTCAGTGTGGCTGACCCCACGGTCGGAGGTGGAGCAATCTAGAAGCCGATGTGGCTGGTGGGGGATGGAGGGGAATCTTTGGGTATGATTTTATCGTCTATCGCATTTTCTTCCGCAGGTCTTCTTTTCGTCTATACCCCGCCATTGAGCTACATTGATTAATCGATACAGGAAGCCTCTTCGTACTCGAGTTCATTCCTTATCAGTCAATTCCAGAAAAAAGCTCCAAATCCCACCCGACATCGTACAATTGTCATCCGCTACCACCCCGCAAAAACCCCGCCATGTCTTCCAAGTCGCAATTGACCTACACTGCTCGTGCCAGCAAGCACACCAACCCTCTGGCCAAGCGCCTCTTCGAGATTGCCGAGGCCAAGAAGACCAACGTGACCGTCTCCGCCGACGTGACCACGACCAAGGAGCTCCTGGATCTCGCTGACCGTAGGCCCGCCCGAAACCTGAAAATATCCTCCCCCCATGATCAGGAATTGACCCCGAGAAACTTACATAGGTCTGGGACCCTACATCGCCGTGATCAAGACGCATATCGATATCCTTTCGGACTTCAGTAACGAGACCATCGAGGGCCTCAAGGCGCTGTCCGAGAAGCACAACTTCCTGATCTTCGAGGACCGTAAGTTCATCGACATCGGCAACACCGTCCAGAAGCAGTACCACAAGGGCACCCTCCGGATCTCGGAGTGGGCCCACATCATCAACTGCAGCATTCTGCCCGGCGAGGGCATCGTGGAGGCCCTGGCCCAGACCGCCGCGGCCGACGATTTCGAGTACGGCGCCGACCGCGGCCTCCTGATCCTGGCCGAGATGACCTCCAAGGGCTCCCTCGCCACGGGCCAGTACACCACCTCCTCGGTGGACTACGCGCGCAAGTACCCGAAGTTCGTCATGGGATTCGTATCGACGCGGGCGCTGGGCGAGGTGCAGTCCGAGGTGAGCTCCGCCTCGGACGAGGAGGACTTTGTCGTGTTCACGACGGGCGTCAACATCTCCTCCAAGGGCGATAAGCTTGGCCAGCAGTACCAGACCCCCGCGTCTGCCATTGGTCGCGGAGCCGATTTCATTATCGCCGGTCGCGGGATTTATGCCGCGGCCGACCCGGTGCAGGCAGCGCAGCAGTACCAGAAGGAGGGTTGGGAGGCGTACCAGGCCCGTGTTGGCGGAAACTAAAATTGGGGCCGGTGGGGTGTTGATTGTAGACAATGTACAGGATTAGCAACATAATGCCATGTGACGACTAAATTGCTTGAAGCATCCAAGGTCGGATAATAACGAGGGGGTATCGATCCTGCGGGAAGATAAGATCCCTTGAGTCAGTCATCTTGCCATCTTGTCATCCAGGTCGTGGGTTTTGTGATTGATAACAGGGGAGATGATAACCTAATTCTAGACTGGAAGAGATAAGACCTGAAATGTCATCGTCGACAGTGTCTAGTCTTGGCCCAGCCTCTACCGTAGATGACTGTAGAGGCGGGCAGATGATGGGTCTGTGGATATCCTAGTATATTTCAGCATATACTTTACTCTGGCCAAGATTGTTATCTGCCAATGGATGGGACCAATATGGCCATGCTGTTGTGAATGCTGAGTTGAGGGTGCAAAGCGCCGGCCTCCAGATCTGGAATCCGATGCGGAACGAGTGAGTGACAGTTCCGCGCTTGCAGGATGCTGTTTAGGGACTTTGCTTTTCCTCCTCTTCTCCTCTTCTCCTCTTCTCGCCTCATGACGTCGCATGATAAGCTCCAGCATGATTCGTCCCTCGCCATTCTCAGGCGAAAACAACCTAGGAGCATCATGTCCAGCCTCGAGTCACTCGGGTAATCTCTCCAATGGACGGACGAGTGGCAAGTCCTCTTCAAACCTCAACATCCTCCTCCACCCCCTCTCCTCTCTCCTCTCTCCTCTCTCCAACGTGTTTCCCCCTCATTCTTATCTGACTGGATGGCACTATCATTCAGTACTCCAAATACTGCATGCAGCTAACGGGGATCCAACCCTCCTGATTCGGTCGATAAGCCGTCTACCCCAGATAAACCAGATAACAGCCAAACAACTAGCGTCTTATCTCCGACTATGGGACTGAGGGACTATGAGCGCTCATGCAACCCCATCTCTTCCAAGAAAGCCAGTTGCGAATTCCATTGCCGATCCGGCTGCACCATGACATCTCACAGGACAGTCTTAAAGCCCATCAAGTCTCTCCGGATCAATCTCCGCAATTCCCCCTTGCTTCCTGCCCCTCACCCGTCACACCTGTCTTTCAACTCGGGACATCCCTATCACTTGGACACATTCTTCCATTCTCTATCTTTGCCCTCTCGGTGGCAGTCGATATGGGGGACGAGAAATCCCAGCCGCATACAATGGTAGATGAGGAGAAAGATACCACTAAGGCCGTGGACCCAGTCCTCCTCCAACATGCGCAGGATGCAGATGAGGCGCTGGGCGTCTTTCAGGATCTCCAGGGAGAGGTGATCGAACTCGACGAGGCCACGAACAAGCGACTCTTGCGCAGAATCGATTGGCACATTATGCCGATCATGTGTTTTGTCTATGGCATGAACTTCCTCGACAGTGAGCGATTCCATGCGGTTCAATGCGGTAGCATGTTGTTGACACGTTCTAGAAACAACCCTGTCATACGCCAGTATCATGGGTATCAAGACCGACATCAACCTGCAAGGCGATGACTATCAATGGCTAGGCAGTTTATTTTACTTTGGTGCGTATTATCATGTGCAGAAACGTAAACAAGAAGACTAATCGTTCATCAACCAGGCTATCTGGCATGGGAATACCCGACCAATAGACTTCTGCAGAGACTTCCTTTGGGGAAGTACTCCGCCGTGTGCATTATCATCTGGGGAGCTATCCTGTGTTGCTTTGCTGCAGTGTCGAACTTCTCTGGAGCTGTTGCCATTCGGTATGACAGCCCTGCCACTGTCTCATTCGACTTTACTGACGTGCATGTAGCTTCTTCCTCGGCGTCTTCGAAGCCTCTGTCACCCCAGGCTTTGCTCTGCTAACCTCTCAGGTGAGTGGACCCGAAATTTACCACACTAGTTCTTCCTACCTCAGCTCTAACATGGATACATCGAATAGTGGTACACTAAATCGGAACAAGGCAGCCGCGTCAACATCTGGTTCAGCTTCAATGGTTTCGCACAGATCCTCGGCGGCTTCGTCGCCTACGGTATCGCCGTCGGCACCGAGAAGCACGGCTCCGCCATTGCTCCTTGGAAGATCGTCTTTCTCGTGACGGGCCTTCTGACCGTCCTCCTTGGAGCCATCTTCTACTGGGTGGTCCCCGACAGCCAGCTCAACGCACGCTGGCTCACCAAGGAAGACCGCATTCTGGCCGTGGCCCGCGTTCGCGTCAACCAGCAAGGTATCGGAAACAAGCATTTCAAGCTCCACCAAGTCAAGGAAGCCCTGATCGATCCGATGACGTGGGCGTTCTTCTTCTACGCTCTCATCGCAGATATCCCCAACGGCGGAATCACCAATTTCTTCAGTCAGCTGGTACGTTTCCATCCTTTGGGTCGTTCAGTCTGTCTCCACCACCACCACCACCGCACCCACTAATCACACAAGGGAATAGATAACCTCCTTCGGCTACACTGCGGAACAATCTCTTCTCTACGGCACTCCCGGCGGCGTTGTGGAGATCCTCTCCCTCATCGGCAGCGGCTTTCTGGGCCAATACACCAACCAACGCCTCCTCTGCAGCGCGGGCGGTCTCGTCTCCGGTATCCTGGGGATGGTTCTCATCGTCGCCTTACCGCTCTCCAACAACGTCGGCCGACTGATCGGCTACTACCTGACCCAAGCCAGCGCCACCTCGTTTGTGGCCCTGCTGGCCATGATCTCCTCCAACGTCGCCGGGTACACCAAGAAGACAACCGTCGCAGCGATCTATCTCATCGGGTACTGCGCGGGAAATATCATCGGTATGTGTTTTCTTCAGTACCAACTATCTATTCAGAGTGGAGGGTTACTCTCTCAACCTCGACCCGGTAGCTAAATGATAAACAGGCCCCCAAGTCTTCCGCCCGCAGGACGCCCCTCGCTACGTCCCCGCCGAAATCACCATCATCGTCTGCTATGGGGTGTCGATGATGATCCTCGGACTGATCTGGTGGTGGTACCGCCGACAAAACGAGCAGAAGGCTCGCATCCGCTCGAGTCCGGAGTATACCCGGTTGGAGAACCAGGAGTAAGTCCCTCACCCTTCCTTGCTTGCTATCACTCTGTTTCGTCCTTTGTATACCGGGCTGACCTTTGGTGCAAGGTGGATGGACCTCACGGACTGGGAGAACCATGATCTTGTCTATGCTTTGTAATGAACCACTCTTCTGCGGGCCCGGAGCCTGTTTATACACTACTTGCTTGAACTCACAGCTCATGTGGGCTTTCTCATGATTATATGATATGATATGACATAATCTTATGTGCTTATACTAGATGCTTATAAGTTCCCGTTGAAATAAAACTGCGCACCCATGTCAGCTTAGCAGGTTCTGTAGACATCAAGCTTAGACTACTCATGGCCCCTGGAAGATATGGATGCCTCTTCGTGGAATCAAACCGAGAACATTTCTCTCTGGAAATCAAGTTCTATCATACAGGCCATCTTCCATGACATGCATCTCTCGCTCCTCACGAACCATAATCCGACTCCGCATACAGACAAGCTACCTCGTCTCGTCGGAGTCCACAGTCCCCGGCACACTCCAAACCAAGTCACAGAGATCCCCATACACAACACAAATTCAAGGAAGGGCGTTGTCCGTGGCTCATAGAACCTATCCTGCCAACAGGACATCCTTCACCACACAACCGCACTGTCTCAGACATCTATACCACAAGCACTTCATCCAGCCTGTAAAGCCACGGCTATACAGAAGAGTCTCCCTCATTGCGCTTTAGCCTAAGGCCGACTTGCACTCTCCCGACACTTCAGACCTCGTATCGAGAGATGGGACGTGAGGGATGCAATGTTGGCTGGGGCATGGCGTCAGTCCCTCATGATCTGTACAGTCAGATAACAGAGGGGTGGCCATTGACTTACCATGGTTTGTTGCAGTACTAATGTGGAATGTCATTGATTATGGTATCATCGATGACCCAGGCCCGTCCCAGCCGCCCAACCGAGGCCTGTGATGAAGGCAGTGTTGTTGAGGAGGTCGATGTTGAGGAGGTCGATGTGGAGGAGGTTGCTGGCGAGGAGAATGCTGTCGAGGAGGATGCTGTCGAGGAGGATGCTGTCGAGATAGTTGTCGATTCAGTTAGTGAAAAGGTGAAAAAATTGTACGTGGTACATGCCCCACGCCCGTCCCAGCCACGCCACCCAACCGAGGCCTGTGAGTGAGATCAATTGGTGACAAGGAGGTCACTATATAACGGATGTAGCCGTCATTACTGCTCTAGCTCATCCGACTCGCCTGGCTAGAGCCCGTCATAAAGTGGTAAGCAGTTGTTGGCGAGGCAATCAACATCGTTGCCCAGGCCCATTCCAACCACCCAGCCAAGGCCTCTTTCATAAGGTGATCACCATCAGCACAGCTTTGCTAGAAGAGCTGTAGTCAGGCGGTCTTCGTCGAGTGATGCTTGTCGAGACTATAAAGGGGGTAGTTGTCCTCGACATAGCCGCTGGTGAGAACAGATTCTGTCGTAATCAAAAACTGCCCTTTCTCGGCTAGTGTCGCAGTGCAGAGAGAACGTCGCCAATATCATATACGATGACATGTTAGTTGAACCCAATTGCATCACGAGGATAGACGCCCTTAGCACACTTACTTCGTGAGGTAAGAGACAGCTGTTATCCCAGGCCCGTCCCAACCACCCAACCGAGGCCTGTCGTTCTTTTTGCCTTGTCGATGTCGTCGAGGCTGATATAGTCGTTATCGAAGTTGTTGTCATGGTTGAGGTCATCCTCGAAGTTGTTATCGGTGTCGATGTTGTGAGGTCAGCGTCGTTGTTGTCGTCGGAGACCCAGGCCCGTCCCTACCACCCAGCCGAGGCCTGTCAATTTCGTTGCCTTGCCGTCGTCGTTGTCGTCGTAAGAGCGTCGTGTTGTCATCGAGTTTTGTCATCGTCGTTGAAGTCGTTGAGGTTGTCGAGTCCTTCGTAAGGGTGTTATTATCGAGGGCGTTGTCGAGGACCCAGGCCCGTCCCTACCACCCAGCCGAGGCCTGCCGATTTCGTCGCCTTGTCGATGTCGTTGTTGTCGTCGACTTCGTCGAGGTCGTCAGGTCGTCGTCAGTGCCGATGCCGAAGTACATTGTGTTGGCGACCAACCCTCCCACCATCCCAGGTCTGTCGTGGAAAAGGCTGCTGAGCCGAGGTGGTCGTTTGAGCAGATAACACTGGGATCCTTGCACCCAGGCCCCATCCAATCATCCATTCACCCAACTTCTCCAGAACGAACACGAGCAGCCCCTTCCAGACCCTTTCCCCAACGCATTCAATCAGCCGTATATGTATATATATATATATATACATCCGTACATGAACAGAAGGATGGGAGACAAGACTGTGTAAAGGAGAAAAGAAAACTATGTATCCTGTTCATCAACGCGTGTCAGTGCACTTCAATTAGACTGAGGCTGAATCTCACTCACCTGGTCTCGAAGTGACAGCAGGGTCAACACCAGGAAACCTGATGTGTAGGCCTCGCGCGAGGCCAAAAAAAGATTGCTTTATTTGTCACTTCTTGAACACCTAAAACAGAAGTTAGTCAATAGCACATGTTGGTTCCTGCCAGAGGGGATCACTCACTATCCTCCTATGAAAGAAAGGAGCAGAAAGGAAAGAAAGGAAAGACAAAGGAAATATAAAAAGAAAAGCAGTATCAGTATAAAACATAGACTGTGAAACCACCGTCTATGTCCCAGGCCCATCCCAGCCACCCGCCGAGCCTAGGAAAAACAATAGGGGGAGGAAGGACGTCTGTATCGGTTAGCCAAGTCAACCAATGGACAAGTCACTGAAGACACTTACACCTGGACCCACGGGCACAGGATAGCATCGAGCTACCTGGTTCCATGAGTGTAAAAAATATCCCAGGCCCGTCCCAACCACACAACCGGGGCCTCTACAATGTACATGTTACTGCAGACAAGTTAGCCAAGTCCCCACCAAAGAAGATGCTGTGCAGTTAGAATAGTGTTCACTTACCAACTTACCAGGGGAGTGCAAAACTACACCTACATAACCCAGGCCCGTCCCGTCCGCCCGCCATGACCTAGGGTTGTCGCGTGTGGGCTTTGTCGTGTCTCCGGCCCCATCCGCCAACCATGGCCTCGAGACAACTACGAACTGTCGCATATGGGCTTTGTCGTATATCCCAGCCCATTCCCAACCACCCGGCCAAGGGCTGTTCAGAAGCTACTGTAAAGCAAGGTTAGCTCAGTATAGCCAGACACGAGATAAGCACTCACCGAATCGACACAGAGCTACGCTACAGTGTCTTTGACCCAGGCCCCTCCCAACCACCCAACCGAGGCCAAGGCAACTACTATGAAGAAGAGTTAGCACGGTTTCATAAACAAGATAGATCACTCACCGAGAGCTACGCTACAGTGTTCAGTTCCAGGCCACCCACCCAGCCCGCCCACGGCCTGGACTCGAAGTATCCCCTGCTGACAGGAACCCAATCAGCCTCTGTTTGATCAAGAACCAAGCACTTACCAAGGCTATGATCCAAATGTAGACATGGCACTGGCTTGTTGAACGTCCTCAGACTCTGCAAAACCAATCAAACCACCCAGGCTAGTTCACACTGTTCCTTTTTTCGTAGGTAGAAACAGGTCAGCCAAGTTCTGCGAAGTCAAGCTGCTCGATGGGGGACTTGCCAGTTTTTCTTTCACAAGCTTATGGAAAACATCAGACACCCGCCTGTCCGATGTCCCAGGCCCGTCCCGTCTGCCCGTCCAAGGACCTGTGCAAGCAAACTGTGTCTGCAAAGCTCTGTTAGTCAAGTGCCAGTAGTTGATAACAAGGTTACAAGTCTTACCAGTTTCTTTCGAAACTGCACTTAACAGACACCTGACAGCCAGGACTGCCAAGTGTCTTCCCAGGCCCTACCCTACCGCCCTACCAAGACCTGGGCAGACTATCTGCCAACCTTCCATTAGTAAAGTCCATCATATCGAGGAAGGAAGTACTCATCTTTTTATCTCAACAATGTACATCACAAGGTAAAAACATCAGATTCACGTGTCCGATGTCCCAGGCCCGTCCCATCCACCCATCCGAGGCCTGTGTAAAACAAACTGTGTCTGCACATTGTACATTGTTAGCCAGGTGCTCAAGATCAAGAGGAAGAACTTACCAGTGTCTTTCGAAACTGCACTTTAAACAGCAGACACTCGCGTGTCCGATGTCCCAGGCCCGTCCCAGCCACCCAACCGGGGCCTAGGAAAGAAAATTAAATCAAACAGATCAGGCAAGATAGGAAAGATCGGACGAGATAGAAAAGATCAAACGAGATACCAAGAAACTATAACACCGAGATTCGAAAAAAAAAATGGAAGAAAATGGCAAGTAGATCAAAGGAGATGATCGACACCAGGCAGCTGTGCTGCCTGATGTCCCAGGCCCGCCCCAACCACCCAACCAAGGCCTAGGAAAGAAATTCAGTCAAACGAGATGGCAAAAAGATCAGACAAGATAGGGAAGATCAAACAAGATGCAGAAAAGAGAAAAACGCCTGACTCCCAAAATCAACCAAACGAGACAAATGAAATAGATAGGAAAGATAGGAAAGCAGATCAAGGAAATCAAGGAAATCAAGGAAACAAGAAAAGTAACACATACAGCATATATAAGAAATGAAGAAGATGAAGAAGATGAAGAAATAAGACAAATGAAACAACCAAGGAGACAAAACAGATAAGAAAGAAGGTAGAAAGACACATATGATAACACACACACACAAGGAGATACACAAAATAAGATAATAAATGACAAGAAGAGACACAAGGTGGAGACGATATATAGAAAAACAGACATATGAAACAACGAAAGAAATAAGACATATAAGACAGATGAAAGTAGAAGACAGAAGATACAACAAATGAAAACCACACATAAGGAGATACACAACATAAGAAAGATAGGAAAACACACAAAATGGAAAAGAAGATCGTAAGGAAAAGAGACATATGAAACAACCCAAGAAATAAAACAGATAGATGAGATAAGAAGAGATGGCAGAAAGACACAGCAAATGAAACTAGACACGAGGAGACACAGAAGATAGAAAAGACAGAAAGATATACAAGATGAGAAGGAAAGATAGTAAGAAAAGAGACATATGAAACAGCTAAACAAAGAAGAAATTGCTTAACAAATAAGACATTTGAGACAGATAAGAATATGCCAACAAGATGAGAAAGAGATACAAGGAGACAAGAAAAGATAGGAAAGACAAGATGCAACAAATGAAAACTACCTAGAAAAAGACACAAGAGATTGACACTACAAATGAAACTACCTAAACACACTATGCACAAGATGGCAAGTAAATACAGGAGCTGCTAGGCGATGAGAGAGAGCTGTGTAGGAAAGAAAGATTCCGCGAGCCTCGAGCGAGGGATCGCGCTGGTTTTGCTCCAATGCCAAGACTTGACGTCGTCGAAACCGCTGTGAGGATGTGTGCCTGAGGAGACCCAGGAAGCTGAGGGACGCAGAGCTTGACGTGAAAGTTTTCCGCTGGATGGCCGGCCGTCAGGGGAGGGTGCCGGCCGAAGGTAGCAGAGCAAGGTTGGGGGAAGAGGGGGGAGCAGAGCAGACAAGAGACCCTGGGCTTTGGCTTCGAGATGGAGCCGTCTGGTGTTACTCCTGTGGAGACCACGCGAAGCTTGTTCAGTGGAAGGTTGGAGCAGATGCTACCCTGCCGAGCGAGGGAAGGATGGGCAGTGAGCTGTCGACTACAATGTGACTTCGACCGTGGATCTGTAGATTTGACCAACACTAACGTTAGCAATATCGCAGAGAATCGGGAGCAGCAAGCATACCTTTGCCCGGAGAGAGCCATACGTCTCTGTCTCCCTTCCCCCTCTCCCCTCTTCTCTCCTTCTCTCTCACTCTGAGGATGGAATCGATCAACGACAGGGGGCTTGTTCAGGCACAGTCAGGAGACGCCGTGAATCCGGGACAGCAGCACATGGAACCAACGGGCCGACACCCGCAGCTTCCCTACAAGGAATGTGGGGGATAAGCTTTGCCCAGGCCGAACTCTACTCGGCCGTCAAGCTTTTTTCTCGGAGTTATTCTGCTGCTGTCATGCTGACAAGACCCCTTGATTCGAAGCCATGGAATCTCTTCCACCAGCACGCGTAAAAATAGCAGACTTCAAATCGTGGGAGTGGCTGCAAGCCAAGTAAGCCTGAACAAAAGCTTAATTTCTGGTTTCTAGGATTGCTACATATGAATACAACGAAACACTTCGGTTGCATGCCAATCCAGGCTCGAGTACTGTACAGTGTGGTAAGGTACAGAACAGGACACATCCAGTATGCAACCTCGTCAAAACCTACAGGCACACAGTGTCGACTACTTTCTCAGCAACCAGTAACCCCCCAGCCCCACCACGGCCAACATGACGGCCCAGCGCATCAGGCCTCGGCGGATGTGGTACTCAGCGATGCGATCGACGGCCTGGGCGTCGTTGATGCGGGGGAATGGAACATCGGGGACCTCCTTGCCCAGGGCGCGGCAGAGGGGCTCCCAGCCGTCGCGGACATCGAACAGCACCAAACGATCGAGGGGCACGACCTCGCGCAGCCACTGCAGGTGCAGCTGGTAGATCCAGGCGACGTCGCGCGAGCGGTATAGCCGGTCCCACTGCGCCTGCAGCAGCCAGTTGTAGCCCATGAAGTGCCGCATGCCCGGGAGCGGGAGCAGCACGGCGCCCAGGAACCACAGGCGCACGATCGAGCTGACCTGCTGGATGCTGCGCACCCAGGCGTCGGGGTCGCGCACGGTGCAGATGACCTTGCTGTCCGGGTAGAGCTCGAGGAGTTCGGGGACGAGCTGCGACGCCGGGGCGTCGGTGATGGCGGCGTAGCCCGCGGTGCGCGTTTGCAGGAGGGCCAGCGTCGTGGCGTGGTCGCCCGACAGCCAGTTCTGGAGGATCTGCTTCCACGAGATGATCTCCGTGGGCGGGCCCATCAGGGTCTGCGTGCCCCCGTGGTAGATGGGGCCGTCCAGGAGGATCTCCAGGGCGGCGCTGAAGGAGGCGGTGCCCGTGCGCGAGAGGCCAGCGCCGATGACTTGGATGTGTGTCCCGGGTCGAGGGACGGACGCTTGTTGGCCCATCGTGTACGTAGGTTGGCAGAGGTAATGCAAGCAGGAAGAAAGTTCAGACCAGAGTTTGTCCTAAGGAGCTGGAGGGTGGGAACAATGATCGGGGGATGATGAGAGGTTGCTAAGGCGTTGCAGCGGCAGTAACCATCGAGGGTCACACAAGTTACTTCCTTCTGGCTGGAGTCTCGCCTTAAGCGCCGAGCTTTCCACTGATTTCGAACCAGGACCAGCCAGCAAACTTAACCGGGGAGTGACTTTTTACCCCTGTACTGTACATCCTGCAGAATTGGCACCTGGCAGGAACCAACTTCCAGTCCAGCCAGAGCCACCAGCGACGGCCGAGCACCTCGACCGTAAGCGTCCCTTCGGCCGCCTGAACAAACCTTGAATTCTTCAAGCTAAAGGAGCTATGATAGAATGCAGAAGTTTCTCACTTTCTGCTGGCCTTGTGATCGCGATGAAGCATGATTGAAGAATGATCGCCCATCTGTTCTCCTACTGCGAACGATGTGGCGCATCGACATCCCCGCCAATGTTCGACTGGGAGATGACATCGCTTGTTGCTCGGGCTTCGAAAACGCTGTACACAACTGAAGAGAATATGTAGGTAGAGGGAACCGGACTAAACTCCTACTAGGGACGGACCAACGCTACAACTACCATGAGAAACATATACTTAGACTAGTTGTGACATCTACGAAACTACTCATCAAGCCTCAGCAACCGTTCTGTAGCCCCATCCTCTCCCGAGAGCAAGATTCGAGCAAACGATGACCCATCCTCCCTGTTAAAGAAAGACACCACCCCGTCCACACCTAGTGGACAGCTCTCTTTCAGCGCTATCAGCTCAGTCTTCATCCCTTGGAGCACCAGTCGAGCCATCTGCTTGGTGTCGAAGAAGCCGCCACAATGCGGCCACGACAGTAGACCATCGATAGCCCACAAACGGATCTCATAGTCGGGGCACTGAGCCAAGAAGAAAAAGACGGGAGTAAGGCCAACTCCGAGGCTAATCAGTGGGCGGTTCTGGATCTGGTCCAATGTTATTTTCAGCATTCGGTGCAGGTCCACGTAGTCCTCCATGAGGGATTGCAAGGAGAGATCATTGCTGAGCAAGAGGCAGCTCTTGACACCTACGATCTGTCCATGCGTGATGACTCTCAGCAGCTGCACGCCCCGCTTCTCCTTTGCACCAAGGCGGGTGGATGGTGCAGCCACAAACGATTCGAGCTGTTGCAGGAACCGATTCCAGCATGAAAGAAGGCGTATCGGGGAGAGCAAGCTGGCTTGGTAGAACTCGGGGACCGGGATCCCTCGCCTTTGCTTCCAAAATATGACGTGGAAGCCACAGCTGGCGTTGAAGACGGGTTCGAATGCGCGCTGGGCCTCGTGGAAGGTGGTGAACGTAGATAGATGGTCCTCATACGGCCTCTCATAGATTATCTCGTGATCCGTGGTCAGAATCGGCCCGCCCATCATGAAAAACGACTGACTCTGAAGATGCAGATACGTGTCCAGGGTGGTCTGCTGTTCCCACGGCGAGAGCGCGCACCTCTGTGCTTTGAGCTCCCGGAGAATCCTCAGCCCACCCGCTAGATGCACACTCGCGGTTTCTGGGCGTCCACAGAGCAGTTCGGTTACGGTGAAGAGCAAGCAGCAGACGAGAATCACCTGTCGCAGGGCGGGATCCTGTGAAGCACGGCGCTGGGTGAGCAAAGAGAACGATCTGAGGGACTGCTCCGTTGCGAAACGTTCTAAAGTGCTATTAGACTTCTTTCCCGGCACGCGCAAGCCATGCTTTTCCAGATTCTGATGAATTGAGCCCAGAGCCACGATCGCATGGTATACGGCCGGCTCATTGTAACTCATCTGGGGCACGAGCTTCTCCCAGAGAGGGTTATCGACCGAGGCGATTAGATGAGAGATCGAACGATGTTGGAAGTACGAGAAACAGCGTATTTCATCTGTGGTGGTTGTGAAGCGAAAGCCGGTTGGCACTAAGGCAGGAACTCGAGAAGCAGTTGCTGTCTTTCTGCGTGGGGGTAGAGGCAGTCGTTGGACCTCGTATCCATCGCAGACTCGGCCTGTGGAGGTACAGCGCTGGCATGCTCCGGGCGTTTCATCGCATTTGATCCGCCGCGCTCTGTTGACCATGCGTCAGCCGAGCAACAGCGGATAATCAAATCACTTGTATAGTGCCTTGATGTGCGTCACTTACCGACAGGTGCGACATCCGGTACGGGATCTTGGCTTAGAAGCACGCCGCCGGACCGGAGACTTATTCGACGCAGTAAGTAAGTCCTTTGAGGGGCCCGAGTCCATTGTAGTCAGTAGTTGGGTGGTGTTTTGACGATGTTGTTAAATTAATAATCAGCAGACTTCCGTAGAGGAGAGCGACCCGCACTAAATTAGCAGCAGCGGCTGGACGAGCCGATGGGGCGGGCCGTCAGGGGGAAGGAGAGGGGGAGGACCGAACAACGAACTGGAGTCAGTCTCCTTCTCTCTGTCTGGCAGTGCCGCTGTGGAGCCTGTCGGTCTCCTCGCTCCTCTTACTTGCCCTTTTGTCTTCCTTGCGGCTCCATGCCAAGGAAATTGGCATCTTGGTTTCTGTGGTGGGGATCTGGGTCCTAGACTACGTATCCTTGAAACTATGATGCTATGATTGCTGATCCGAATCCACTGTCATAGGCGCCGAGTCCCCCATTCCCTTCACACAGGTACAGATATCTAACACTCAAACACACCTGAGCATTTGTCCCCTGGCAGCGTCGTCTCAACCACTCCTGCCTACGCAAAGACAGATTCGATCAAGTAGTGACTCAGACTCGAGCCCAAGCAAACGAACGCCGACGGCTCTGGACTAATGCGCACTCAAGGAAGCAATCCCCGGAATGAAATGCCCCCATGAACACCTCACCTGATAAGATGCCGCGGAAAACACACCGCTCTGGGTATTCCTGCATCCATCCAATGATGCGCATACGACAAGATTGCATTGATATTAACTTTGCTGGACTGAGTCATGAGAGGCTAGACTCCCTAGTGCTGATTGGATTGGGTATGCGCATCGCCAAGCCACGTGCCTGTACAATGTCGAAGAGCCAATCACCACAGACCCAATCTGCTGGGATTGCCTCGACTAGATGAAGTCTATCAGATTGACCATAAACAACTTCATCAAAGTCAGCGTGACGAGTCTCTAAAAAAGGGCCGGTGCGGACGCGAAGCAATTGCTCAGTGGCTCTTGCTTGCAGACGGACTCACCTTCCGACATGTATAATCCGGTTGTAACTTCCACCACAACGATACCAAACAACGAGGCATCGAATCAGACCCAGAAGCATGAGGCCTAGAGAAATGAAGATAGCATCAGCCCAGCGCGGTCCTCTCACCGATATCTTTACCATTTTTGCGGTACGGTGTGAAAGCCAGACTCTGGTCTTGAGGTTGACTCTCATCAAAGGGGCTACCCTTCTGACCAGTCAATGGGGTGCCGCATCCGGACAGACTATCAATCCCAAGCAATACAGGGGAATAATTGAGAATGAGCGGCAGAGAGATGCTCAGCCAATAATCCCAATTGACTACCGGTATATAGTTGAGGGGGCTTGCTCGATGTCCCTTGATTCCAATTTCTGCTAATGGATCAAACGGGAAGCGTGAAATCAGAGCATCATTAGCATTTTCAAGCCAGAATGTACTTGTCGCTGGCGTTGCTTGCCTATCTTTCCCCTTGGGTTTTCGCTGCATCACCAAATTATTGTCCGCTTCTGGGACCCATCTTCCCGCCCCCGAGAGCACTCTCGACAAGCAGCGCATTCCTCGCCGCGAAGAACAACATTTCCTTGGCCCTCGAGGCAGCCATAGCAGGAACATCCCCTCTCAATGACATCTTTAACTCTAACAACACATCGTTTGCCATTCAAGTCTTTTCGACGGATGACGCGGACCCCCTTTTCGAATCCTACTATACCGCTCCAAATGTCAACACTTCTGTAGGGGTTAGTGTAGTGGATGCGAATACCGTGTTCCGCATCGGTAGCGGCTCAAAGATATGGACAATCTTGTTGGTTCTCATCGAACGGGGGGACACTGTGTTTCGCGATCCGGTGGCGAAGTATATCCCCCGAAGATTGAGCACCAAGCCACGTGGGAATGAGATTGATTCTGTGCGCTGGAACGAGGTGACAATCGGGCAGCTGGCAAGTCACCTAGCGGGGATACCGCGAGACTGTAAGTGACCCGTATCTGCCAGGATCATTGTTGTATTGCACACTCATCCATGCATAGATGGGTTCGTCGATCTAGCCACTTTGCTGCCTGATCCAAGTGCAATCGGCCTTCCTGAGCTTTCGCCAGCCGAGATCCCCTCATGCGGTGCGCCAAGCATGCCTTGTGATCGAAAACGTGAGCCTCCCATCTATTCTAGATGGAAAATGCTGATAAATCTAGGATTTTTCGACGGCTTCTTGAAGAGACACCCCATAGTTCCGACTGTTACCACACTAGTCTACTCAAATGCAGCATTCCAGATCATCGGATACGCTCTGGAAGCAATGACCGGTCAAAGCTACCAGACGGTCCTGTCTCAGGACCTCATCCGCCCGCTCAACCTCACCCGCTCCAGCTACAACAAGCCAGCGGACAGACTTGGGATCATCCCCGGCGATGTAGAGACCACGTGGTGGGCCTACTCACTCGGCGACGAGACACCGTTCTTGCATCTTCTCCATCACTAGACTGTGCTGACAGCCTGTAGTACCGGTGGCCTCTACTCGTCGACCAAGGACATGGCCACCTTTGGCCGCGCCATTCTTGACAATCGGCTGCTTTCCAGCGCTCATACTCGGCGCTGGTTGAAACCGGCTGGTCACACATCCTCACTGGACATAGCCGTCGGGGCTCCTTGGGAAATCTACTCATTTCCCTCCTCACGAGTGGTCGATCTTTACGCCAAGCCGGAGATCTGGGGTCGTACTCGTCCATGCTTGCTTTGTCACCAGACCACAAGGTCGGCTTCATCATACTGATAGCCGGCACAAACACACACTGGACGGCTGCCTACTTATCCGATCTCCTTGCAAACCCGCTTCTTCCCGCGCTCGACGAAGCGGCGAAAGAGGAGGCGATCCCAAGATTCATGGGGTCCTATTTTGCGAGAAACTCCTCATCCTCACTGACCATCACCACGGATGACGGCCCTGGACTGAGGGTCGATACATGGCTCAATGAGGGCAACGATATGTTTAACACACTTTCACTGCTTCCGGGCGCGTCTATTGCGGATCTCAGCGTGCGGCTGTATCCGACCGGACTGGAGACACCAGGGCGGGTGTCTTTCCGGGCGGTCTTCCGGGATTTGAGTTTGGGAGTCGATGGGATTGGACCGTTCAGTCGAGCATGCCCGACCTGGTTCCTTGTGGACGCTTTTGTGTACGGAGCCGTTGGGCTCGATGAGTTTGTGTTTGATGTGAACAAACAGGGGAAGGCCGTTGCAGTCGAGGCGAGGGGGGTGAGGATGGTCTTGAAAAGGCAGATGGCTATGACGCCTCACATTAGTATATCGTACTGCACCTCGAAGAGGAAACTGCCAATCCACGTGTCTGCCGTTGCGACGCAGCATATGCAGGAGAACAATACTTCGACATGTCCGTTATCGCTTATCATGAGGAAAAGAGATAGGGTCTGCCAAGGTACTAGGTTGTACCACTGTGCTGTGGTTGAGAGAAATGTCATCATGGTAACAATCGCTGGGAAAACCGGCGATGGTAAGCGATCGATGTGGATCCTATAGTTCAGATCAAGTGTTTAGTTCGAAGTCAATCCATGGTTCTGAAGGAACTGACTCACGGACTCGGGCCAGGTGCCAGAACCATTCCTGAATCACGTCACGTCAGGCATCTAGACTTGGTCCAACCGTCCAAGGAATGTCTCGCACCCCACGCACTGTGGAGGATGCGGTCATGTCGAGTCTGGATGATGTCTCCCAGTCCACCACGGAATGTGAAAGTGAAACGGCGATAGAATTCTGATGACATGTCAGGAGAGGGAGCTTTGTGAGGCAGTAAATCACGACGACAACGCAGTCTCGTGATATGTGCAGAAAACCATGAAGTGTGAATGAAGAGGGAGGAAAGAAAGGTAACTGGCGGTGAGGCCTCGAGGACGGCAGCGGGACCGTGGGAGGGAAGATTGGCTGACAGCAAGTCAATTCCAAGTGGGGGGCACACTAACCACCACTTAACTAGTCCTTAGTCTAAGGGTCAGGTCGAGGTCGAGATTCCTGAAAAAGACTGAACAGTGAACAAACACACCCAATGCAGGGGGGAGTAGCAGAGCCCCGCAGTGGGCAAGAGACGAAGAAAAAAAGAACCTGCGTTGGAAGGGGAAGAACAGGTTCAGTGGGTGCATTATTATGGAGAACTTACCGTCCCCAGTCTACGTACACAGTACTCATTCAAACACTATTCAAAATGATCCATGATGATCGTCTCCAGCAAGTCTGGTGGTTGAAGGTTCCTTGCCGCCGATCCCTGCATCCCCCCCCAAATTGACGCTTCAATGCAACCCTGGCGGTTAAACTGGTTTGGTTTGCCGCTTGGAATGAATGCAGCCTGCGTTCAGGAGGGAAAAGGGAAATTGAGAGAAAAAGGGCAAAATGGGGTCTAGCATATATTAAAACCTAAGTACTACCTACGCCCCCCCCCCCCCCCCTTCTTCCCAACACAATAGATTCTCATTCTCGTGCATTTCCGTTCTTGTTCTTGTTCTTCTTGTTCTTTCATACCTTCGCACCCAGTCTTTCATTCTTTTTCGATTGTCAGTCTCTCATTTACCTTGACGAGAGGTACTGAGTAGAAGTACCAGATACCAGGCACAATACCTGTCAAGGTACTTTTCAGAGTATATTGCTACATCCACCGGTCCGTATTATGTATTCTCCTGTTCTCTTCCTTCGTATTGATCGCCGGTCGACTGACTTGCCCCTCTCAGAACCTAATCGACCCTGACACCAGCTGATAACCGCCACACATACCAACTCGAGTACATCAACCCGCTGCCAAGATGATCCCTGCTTGTTAAAGTCCCACCCCCTCCTCTTCCTCGAGGCATGTGTGTGCATCGGCTGGGCCGTCATCTTCACAGTTAAAAAGAAAATCACATGTCAACCGCCCCCAACTTCTACTATTCGCAGGGAAATCCCGCCTTCCCTCTGGACATGTCTATATCCCCACGCCCGGGCCCAGGCCCAGAGCAAACGTATATCTCACCCGGAGTGAGCAGCAAGCCCGCCCCTACGACTACTATCAAAGATTACCCGACACTGGAGGTCACCGAGATAAGCCTATCGCCGTGTATGGATGCCCATGCGTTGGAGGATCGCAGCAGCAGCATCGCCGCGCCACCCAAAAGAAGACGAACCCCGTCCCCGTCGTCTCCTGCAGCAACAACCACAAGCACATCGTCGTCGTCTTCTTCTTTTTCTTCTTCTTCGACATCCCGTCACCGCAAGAGCAGTCTCCGCAGCCGCCACAGCAGCTCTCATTACTCGCAGCACCGTCGCACCGCCACCACGGTCTCCATCACCCCCATCACCGACCAGACCACCCGCAGAGAGGATCTCCTAGCCCTGCATCGGGAATCCTGTCGACTGTTTCAGCAGGAGGAACAACCGACACCCCCTTTGACCCCGCGCAATCAGCGCTCCCCCAGTACCAGTACCAGCTCCAACGTGACGGCGACCATCAGCAACACTAATACCAACACCAACGCAAGGAACGGCGGCAAGTACTCGCCGATCTCAATCCACGAAGTGCACAAGACTCCCGTCCGCGCATCCACGCTCCCGGTATGGGACTATACCGATGAAGTCACGACAACGACGACGACCGTGACCGTGATCGACTGGACCTCGCCGTCCACGCGCCGACGGGAGTACGAGAAGATCGACAAGGCGAGCAGCGGGATGCGGGGGTTCTGGCGGCGCGTGGCCCCGAAATGGTGTCAGTCGCGGGCTCGGCGGATGCCATTTTTCGAGGAAAAGGATGGGAAGGGGAATTACGAGGGGAGTGTGCGACGGTTCCGAATGGATATTCCGGAGTGAGCGGCCAGGTTGTTGAGCACATCTAGCCCCCTTTTTTTTTTTGTTTTTGTTTTCATCTTGATACCCATACCATAGATTGTCAATCGTTACTTTTGCTTGGTTTATCGTATCTTACATCACATCACATCACATCACCTGCAGTTGGTTTTACATGAAAACTGTCTTAGGATTATATTTTATACAGCTAGACTGACCGAATCAATCATATTAAATCCCACACCCAAGACTTTTTTATACTGAAACAGAAAGTAAAGTAACGCCAGAACACCATTCTTGCTTGCAGGGTATCATTCACAACAAATCGAAATCATCCATCTTGTTCTTGTAGGTCATGATCGTCCTCTTGATCTTGCTGCTATCCACCCAGGTCACAAAGTCCTCCATGTTGCGGGTGATCAGGTACGCGGGGTCGGTGACGACCTCCGTGCCGACGCGGACGTGGCCCTGTTCGATGAATGTGTTGGCCTGCACACGGGGAATTGATTAGCATCAGCTCACACCAGCCCAACCTCACGTCCCCCCCAAAAAAAGAGGGGGAAAAACCTACAGCAACAACATTCTCCACCATCCCACTGCGCGCCATAAACACGCCCAACCGGCGCCGACAGAACGCCGAGACGGTGACCTCGCGCTCGACCCGCGACAGGCCGGCGCCCTGCTCACGGCTCTGCTTCAGGATCCCCATGCGCCACAGCTTGTCCAGCATGTCGGCCTCGAGCTTGCGGCGCACGGGGTCGGCGGGGTCCAGCTCGCTCAGCTTGTGCGCCAACTGCCGCAGCGAGCCGCACAGGGTGTTGTACTTGCGGTAGTCGAGCGGGTCCTGCAGGTGGTAGCGCGTGCGGATCGTCGACTCGCGGTGGTTATTGTCCGACTTGTAGGTGTGGAAGTCGACCTTGCGGAGGAGTTTTTTCTCGTGGTGCTTGAGCGCGCGGACCATTTTGGCGGAGTCCTTTCAAAGGAATTTCGAGGGGGGGGGGAGAGAGAGTGGAGTGGAGGTGCGCTTCTCGGGGCAGGTAGGTATTGGTATTGGTATAGTTATAGGTGTAGGTACTAGTGAGTCAATAATGGTGTTGATGGGTTTCTGCTGCGTGATGAGGAGAAAATTTGGGATGAGCGGTGGGGATATTGCCGGTTGTATTTGAGCAGAGGGCTTGGCGGTGTGTTGGCGGTAAGATGGGGTCCTTTTTAAGTATACGGGCCATCCCAATATCAATCCTTCTATCTTTCACTTTTGTATCGAAGACTTACCTGGAAATTATGATCTTTCGCATTATCAACTCTTTTAGTAGTCGTCAAATATCTTTGTATGTCAAATCCACTTCTTCGCTATGACATGGCTCCCCTCTGCCTCGGACAGTATCAGCTTAACAATTACTACTCCATTTATCCCAAATCAATTAAACGATAGACCACACAGTCGTGTGATCTATACATCTATAAACGCATCTCAATCAAGGCTCATACATCGACTATACACTGCACCAACTCTACCCAACACCCTACACCCCAGGAACAATAGTCCTCAATCCCATGGCAAACCGCTTAATCTGGCCCGCATAGTAATTCTAGGCAAGAACCCGTCAGCAAACCACCACTTCTCCCCATTCACCCTCCAGAGAACATCAAACATACCGATTCCAACCCCGCGCCAACACCCTTGAAAGGCAGCAAGCGCACCAACGCCGGCACCGGCACGCGCCCCAGCACCAACCGGGCCTTCTCCTCCTCCAGCCCGTCGTCCAGGAACACCTTGGGCAGATCCGGATCGATGGCCGCAGGACGACCGAGCCCGATGATATCGCAGACATTCTGCTGGACCGCCGCCTCGGCGCCGGCCCGAGTCCGGAAGCCGCCGGTCAGCATCAGCACCAGATCGGGGAACCGCTGGCGGGTTTCGCGGGCGAAATCGAGGAAGAACGCCTCGCGGGCGAGGGTGCGTTCGCTCTTGGGGGCAGCGTCAAGGCCCATCATCTGCCCTCGCTCGTCAGTATGGTCCCTCCGCAGAGGGTGATAAAAGTTGGGGAAAGGCAAGGCGCGTTAATGAGAAAGACCGTGGAAAAAAAAAGAACCCACCTCAGGATTCTCATAGCTTCCTCCACTGATCTCCAAAAAGTCCACACCAGCCTCCACCAGCAGCTGGATCTGCGTCATCGTCTCTTCGAAGGTGCTCGAGCTGTGATCCGCCGAGTTCAGCTTGATGCCCACCGCGAACCCGCGCGGCACCACCTCGCGCACCGCACGGATGATGTCCAGCACGAATTTCGCGCGCTTCTCAGCACTACCGCCGTACGCATCGGTGCGTTTGTTCGTCTGGAGGACGTCAGCTCAATTCCCCGGAACCCCGGAAGCAAACCAACAAACCTTCGCATTCAAGAATTGATCTAAAATCAAACCAGTCAGCAAGCCCGCCAGACTTCAAGGGGGGGGGAAAAAACAAACCAATCAAATACCCATGCGCGCCGTGCAACTCAACGCCGGAGAACCCACTGTCGGCCATCACGCGCGCGGCGTCCACGAACTGGCGCAACACGCGGTCGATGTCCGTCTGGTCCATCGCGCGCGGCGGCGGAAACAGAAAGCGGCTGATCCAGCGCGCGAGCAGGCCGTCGCCACCCATCTGCAGGGGGATCGGGCTCGGGGCCAGGGTGGGCGCGAACACGCCGCGGCGGCCGGCGAACCGCGCCGACTGACGGCCCGGGTGGCACAGCTGGACGATGGCGGGGGTGCCGCTGTGCTGCTGGATGGCGGTGGCGTAGGAGGACCAGCTCGCGAGGAGGGGCTGCATGGCGGGGTCGGTCTTGTCGGTGTAGTCGCCTTGGAGGGCCGGGTCGAAGGGTTGGCCCATGTGGTTGATGTCGACTTGGACATTTCCTGTTGGTGATGCATCAGAGGGGTGGCTCTTTGGATCGAACAGATGCTGTAGACGTTCGTATAGTTGCCACTGCAGCCATTTGGAGAGTCTAGGAGGGTAATCGAACCAGTAAGAATCGCCCCCCAACCACCCTGCCCCCATCGCTCATACGCCTTCAACAAAGTCGGGGTGATGGTATTCTGCGATCCAGCCAGTGACTCGGCGAGCGCTGCCTACCCAACCCCAATCATCGTAAGCACGCAACATAACACGGACAGCCAGAAGCAAAGCCTCAAACCTTTGCAAGTCGATTCGGCAGCACCAAGCCACAAGGCAATTGGACCGGCTCACGCAAAACAGCCGACATCTTGCAGAGAATAATGGACGCCTGGGGTTTCAACACAAACGCAAGGAATGCTACAGACCGAGGAAGGGAGACAGCATCAGAAAGAACACAGAAGAGGAGGCGAAAAAGAACCGAAACCACAAAATATCGGAACCGAGGCACGGACGGCTGGTGGAGCAACCCGGTCGTTTGGGTTGGAGCCAAGATTTCGCTGCAGAATGCTTATGCTTATCAAGCAGAATTGAATTTCATTGACTACCTACCTACCTAGCTTATCCTTATCGATCAGGCCACGAGGTGTATACCTGAAGAAGAAAGGAAGGAAGGGAGGGAGGGAGGAAGAACCCTGGAAGATTCTAGGTGGATTGTGGGGATCAGATCATGGATCCATCGTGAATCACGCCCTTCGTCCGGTAACAGGGCCAGTCGCCGGCATACTGTCCAAGTATGGACGCGAACAGTTGTATCTATTTTCGGATTCCTTTTCTAGCTATCTTATGAGTAACGTTGCTTATTGTGGTGGACTTACTGTCAGATGCTCAACATGTTGCAACACAATGGAAGTTGTTCAGTACCTGAGTGAACCCAACCCTAACCTGAACCAACCTGACCTCAAACAGGTAGCTTCGCTACATACATACAGCCTGCATGTATACAATCAAAGCCAACCCAATCGAATCTCCCACAAATCCAATCCACCGACGATCCCTGAACATGCACCCCTCAGGGCGTGCGTGGAACGTAAGTCTCGGACCACCGGAGAACCACCCACCACCTCCCACCTCCCGGAGCAGACTCAGCCGAAGACCACCCGTACAGTTCACCGGGCCATTTCCTCCCGCTGTCCCAGTAGTACATATCCCGCCGGTCACCCGGTGCTCACCCCGTCCCAGACACAACCCCCAAACAACGCGCATCATCTTCCCCTTGCCCCTTTAAGTCACCAACTCGACGGACCAATGATCCCCTCGGTATTGAGATCCCGAGGTCCACTATACCCCTACTCAAAGTGTCAGGCAGGAGCGTGGACCACCGACCACGCGGATCCCCACTGGCTAGCCCCGGGGTGGTTGCAGGGCTTGCAGTCATTAGAGGAAAGTCTATTTTGAAGCCAGGCTGAAGAGGAAAAGAGGAGGAGGGGGGGGTCATCTGGTCGGGTCTAGATGAATCTGGATCCTTTTGCCACGAGACTCCCGGGCTGGGTTGCTGGCTGGCCAGCCAGCCTGACCTGACCTGGGTTGAATGAGGTCACAGGTGGCTGATGGCTGCTGCATGGCTTTCCCCGCATCTCCCTGCCATCTTCACCGGTACTGTACTGTACCTGTCAGCCTGGACATGGATGACGCTGCGGGGTACAAAGCTGAGGATATCACCCCCTCACGCCATGAATCCAAAGGTACCTCCCTCAGGTGAGAGGACACGATCATGAGCGTGACTCTACGGTGCATCACATGGAATTCTGAAAGAGGAAGCCGAGGTCCGAGATACGCCTGTGCGAGAATACTCTTCCGATTTGTGTCGAGGAGGAAAACACGTATCGACGGTCTGGAACATTGTGCAGTCATGAATTTTACCCAACCCGAAAACCCACTCACAGTATCTAAGCTAACCAATCCGAGTCCGAAGTCGGTAAGATCCAACACAAATTCGTCATTATATGGGGCATGGAAGCGGTGCAAGAAGGGGGTATACAAGAAGAATGCATCCATCCAGCTGGTGGATGAGATATGAGAGAAAAAAAAAAATAAAAGAATCGCTCCAAAGTCAAGCAACCTGGTCAACACAGGGATGCAAAAGATGAAAAAGACAAACCAGGCACAGCCATTTACAGCTTAGCATTCTTTTCAGCCTCCTCGCTCAGGCCAGGCAGAGACAAGGCGCTGGCGCCCAGGCTGGACAGGATGGCGCCAACTTCGCGCTCCAAAGACAGAACCTCCGTGTGAGCATCGTACATACGGGCCTTGATCCAGGCATCCAGGGTGGCATCGTCCATGTTGCGCAGGGCGGTCTCGCGGTCGACCTTAGCTTCCTGGGCCGCACGGATGACATTGCGCGCCACAACAACGCTAACCTGGCGGATGCGGGTCAAGTCGGGGTAGAGGAGACCATTGTCGATTTCCTCGGCCGTCAGAGCCTTGGAGAGAGCCTCACCCGAGGCATAGATCATGGTGTCGGTGACCTTGACCGCCTTGGAGAGGATGGTACCCAGACCAATACCAGGGAAAACATACATGTTGTTACCCTGGCCGGGGTAGTAGGTGCGGGTCTCACCGGCGGAGTTGGTGAAGCTCATGGGCTGGAAGGGGGAACCAGACGCAAAAAGCACACGGCCGTCGGTGTTGGTGATGGCACTCTCGAAGTCACACTCAGACTTGGAGGAAGGGTTGGACAGAGGGAAAACAATGGGGCTCTTGTTCCAGTCGGCCATCTTGCGGAGGATCTCAGGGGTGAAGACACCGCCCATGGTGGAAAGACCCATCAGGATGGTGGGCTTCACGTGGTCAACAACCTGCTCGAGGGTCTTCAGCTGCAGACCGTTGTTGTCGGTGCGAGCAAAGTAGACCTTGTGGTCAGCGAGCTTGTCACCGCGATCAGCAGTCACGAGACCTTTGGTGTCAACCAAGTAGAAGCAGGCGCGGGCCTCATCTTCGGTCATGCCCTCACGGACGAAGAAGTCGACGATCTGCTTGGCAACACCGACACCAGCACTGCCAGCACCGAAGAAGACAGCACGGTGTTCCTTGCAGGGAAGGCCGGAGCGCTTGACAGCATTGATCACACCGCCGAGGATGACAGCTCCAGTACCCTGGATATCGTCATTGAAGCACGTGTAAACGTCGCGGTAACGTTCCAGAGCGGGGAAGGGGTTCTTGAAGTCCTCGAACTGGATGACAATACTGATGGGGTGCATATTAGCATCGCTCTTCCGGTATCAGCCAGGCGGAATGACTTACCCAGGCCAGCGCTCGGTCAGAGCAGTCATCAACTCGTCCATGAACTCACGCTCCTCGTCGGGGGTGACCTTGTCACGACGGCTACCCATGTACAACGGATCTTCCCGGAGAGCCTTGTTGCTGGTACCCAGGTCCAGAGTCAAGGGGAGAGTAGCCTCGGGACGAATACCGGCACATGCGGTGTACAGAGCCAATTTACCAATGGGGATACCCATTCCGTTGATGCCAAGGTCGCCGAGACCAAGGATGCGGGAACCATCGGTGATGACAGTGATCTCGACGTTGGGCTGGGGCCAATTGGCGATAACAGCAGCCAGATTGCCCCGGTCCTCGTAGCTCAGATACATACCTGCGGGGTGCATCGTTAGCGCCCGGTTTCACGTCGTGGACAGGGAGGGATCCGGGGATTACTCACCTTCCGGCTGTTGGTAGATCTCAGACCATCTTTGGCAAGCTTCTCCAACGACGGGGGTATAGATGAGGGGGGTCAATTCCTGAATGCATGTCAGTCAACGGGTTGTTTTCGTCCGCAGCGTCCCTATCCGAACTAACTTACCTTGAGGTGATCCGTGACCAGACGGTAGAACAGGTGAACATTGTTCTTGCGGAGAGTGCTGAGGTAAAGGAATTTGTCGATAACGGTTTGCTTAAGAGCCAATTGAGCCAAGCCTGCGCGCTTGTTAGTGAGGTCGCGCGACCAGAGGCCGAGTGGCACATACAGCGAGTCTTCTGGGTCTCGTATGACTCGGCACGCGGGGGCGTCAAGCCATAGGTGCGGAGATATTTGCGGATGTAAGCCGGGTTGGCGGTGTCAAAGTTGGACGAATCGCTAATTGAGGCCATGGTTAGTCCACTGCTCTGCTCTGCTCGTGTGCTCCCGTTCTGCTTCTTCATTGTTGCACGATCGATGATGGAGGATTTGGCCCAGATGTCATGGAGTTGTCACTGGGAAGATTTTACTTACGCGGGAGCGGGATGGCTGACGAAGGAAGTCGCGTGGACGGGTCGGCTTTGTGCGGGAAAGCGAGCCATGGTGGACGGCTGTGCAGTGGCGAGAGTAGTTTTCAAACGAATACCAACCGGCGAGGTCACAATGCGAGAGGAGGAGGAGGAGGAGGAGGAAGAAAAAGAAGAAAGGGAGATGGAAGAGGATGACAGAATCAATCGAATTGAGGAAGCGACAGGCCGTCTGGCTTTAAGTCCTTGAGGCACTAAACGCATTGAGCGCCCCTGAGTCAATATCCACCGCATTCCGAAGTTCAACCACAGCAGGTCAGTCAGCGCGCACGGTAGTTGTGATCTTCTGACGAGGCCGTTGCCAGAACTATGAACCAGGACCAGGGGATATTGTTTTAGGGATGACAGCGATCGGGAAGAATCGGGAGGCGAAGGGCCAGTAGGGGCGACCGGGACCGGTCCGGTGGGGATCGGGTCACGTTGGGTGCATGGCAGCGAACCGTCTCGATCGGGTGGGAAGATGGGGCCTGGCTCCGGTCGAAAATGGAGATAAATGGGGATACGAAGCTTTGAGGAGTGTCGGGTGGGAAGAGGATTGGGTAGAGACAGCGTGGAAGTCCGGGTATGGAGAAAGGTTTCAAGCTTGGAACGGGAGCCTTCGCCGAATGCAGTGCAAATGCGGAGTAAATGCAGGCGAATAAACGTGTCCAGATTGGAAAGGAGCAGTTTCGGAGCTGAGACTGCTCAGACGGTCACTGAAAATGCGGTATTTCTTTGACACCAGGACAACGACTACGTTGTAGGACCGAGTACGGGAGTCATTGCTGTGCACTTCGTATGCACAATGGCGGAGGATTCCGCTGATGGTTGGGAATTGCAGATTGCAGCTTGCAGATTTGCAGGGAGTTGATAGGTAGCAGACTGAAGTATACAATGTACTTGTCAGTCTGTTGAAGCGAAGTTGGTTGTTCGCCAACAATCGACTCCGGACTCCGTGACGGACAGAGTTACAATTTCTCGTATGAAATCCTGCCTGCATTTCCCCTTCATCTCTCGAGGAGATTCTGGGTGTTCAACTCAACCACAATTGATGCGGATGAAAAGTGCATAGGTGGTGAAGAGGTACAGTAACAGGACTGCAGCCCATAGACCATCTCGGTCCAATCCCGATATACCTTTCCCGATCCTTTTTTTTTTTTTTTTTCTTGCTTCTCTTTTTTTCTTTTCTCTTTTCTTTTCATTTTTTTTTCTCATTTTCTGATGTCTCCACATCGGGAAAACTAAGCCCAAAGCAGCAATAGACCCAAAAGGGTCCCGAAGTGGATCTCCACCAACTTCATGTGGCAGAATCTCAGGCTCTCCAAAACTTCAATCCAACCTCCCAAACACCAACAGTCACCATGACACAAACCAAGCTAAACTGCGTGAGGAAGGATTCTGGACCGGATGCGAATCTCTGGATTCCCCGCAGCAAACGCGGCCCGGGTTTCTCCTCATCAACTCAGTAACATTTGCTCTCTTGTTTTTCTCCTCATCTGGCTGCAGGTACCAACAGCTTACACACACACAAAATGGCCACGACATCTTCACAGCATCTGTCACCCTGAACCGCAGACCAAATGTTACCAGGAAGGAGTTGTCGACTGGCACATCCCAATGCTGCATGCAGGCTCTATGATAGGGCACACCGAACAAGGAGAACGCATAAATATCGACGATCAGAATGCGCGAATAAATTTGTGTGTGTTCGCGTGTGTGCCCCCCCCCCTCACCCCCCATTAAATTCTTCTCCAAATATACTGAGTAATGACCGAATATAATGAGTAATACTCCAAATTCCACACATGGGCGGTCCAATGGCATGCTCCAGCCGCCGGCTCCGTTGCTTTGCCGCGCCGATCGGTCCCGACCGATGGAAATATCCGATGGAGCTCAGTCAGCAAGAGCTGAGTCAGCCGCCTCCAAAATAGCAAAGGCTCGGGTGAGATGTGGCCATTTTCGGCTCGGATGGCTTGGCCTACACCAGTTAGACTGATAGACTGTCCCTCTTTTCACACTATATTCCTACTAGAATCGCACTACAATTAATCTTAACGCCCTTGAACCGTGCTGCTTTCGATGCAATGCGAGAGGGCTTGGGCAGGCAATCACAAACCGTCCAGGTCGAGCCTCGTTCTTATTATAAATCTGAGGAGATTGCGTCTTGGGCGACGATAAAGATTCGGGTTGTGCGACGGTCCATCGACTCCATCGACTCCATCCAAAGTTCAAAACAGTCTCTCGCGGCATTGGTCCTCGTCACCGCCTACCCTGCTCGAGCTATTGGCGGCTTAGCCGATGGAGACGCCTGCAGATCCAAACCCCTGGTCTTTCTTTCAATGGGAAGCTCAGTGTAGGGCGAAGTTATTGTTTCATGCTGTGGATTGGTTTTTCATCAGGAGCTAGTGGGCAACGGGTTACTCCGTCGACCTTTCCCTTCATTCCCAACGCTCGGGTTGAAAATCACCTGTCCCCTCGCTTTCAAGGTTCAAACTTCAGGCTGAATGTGTAGGCGAGATGGACAAAGCACACCCCTAGGTTCTCTCCACGCCAGGTTGCAGGGACGAGTAGTTATCCCTACCGCGACCGGGTTTACCCACTTGAGCAGGTCGTGTCTCCCCTTCCTTCGCCCCTTTGCTCCCCGGATTCAAGATGCATGGGTCACAAAGCTTGACCACTGCTGATCATTGTTTGTTCGCCCTGTATTGGATCTCTCATGGGGCAAATCCCTTTCATGCGGTGTCAATATATACCTCATATGAGAGGTCTTTAGGAGCCTAGTACCTAGCTCAGCAAGATTCGACCTGCATCATGATCCCGGACTGCTAACCTGTCCACCATCGCTCACTCTTCGGCTTGTGGTGGAACCAGCCAGGGAATTTGCAAGCATGCGGCAATCGTAGGGCAACCAGCTGCTCGTCCACTCTCCCTCCCCTGCCCAGCGAAAATAAATCGCTCATTACGTTGTTGTTATTGTTTCTGATCGGCCTCCGGTATGCGGGACGCGATGACGGATGTGTTACAACTTGGGTGGCTGTCACCCTGAACCCTGTATGCGCGGTGCTCTCGTACACCTGACGATCTGCCTTGCAGCGCGGCACGGACAAACCCCCGTCATTCCATGGTTTTCCTGCTGTTCTTTCCTCCGGTGGCTCTCTCGTATCGTGTAAACTTCTGTGACAGAGAGGGATTTCTTTCCTGGCTTGCGGACAAACGACGGCAGGGATCTGCTTGCTTGTTTACGTGATCTTCGTCGTGTTGTCTCGAGTTCAGTCTGTGTTTATACTTTAGGCAAACGGGAACGAACTCGCAGTAGTGTTGATTGGTGACTGTCTCGGACGGGGATGGGAGCTCGACCACAACCAAGCAAGATAGCCGTTGCAGAGTATATCTCTGGACTCAGTCAGTTGACGGTTGAGATGAACGAAGTGTGCCATGTTACTGACCTCTAGGACTGTCCATAACCATGGAATTGACTCTTCCGATCATGGATTCTCGACGAACCACCCCAGAAGCCGCCTTATCGATAAGAGCGATACGATAAGATACCGACTGACAGATCACGTGGGGATACTGATAAAGCGGCGAGGAAAGGGAGCGAGCGGTGACGCAAGAGTGATTGGACCACCCAGCCAGCCCGTGATCGATGATGATTCCATGCAACAGGAATCAGCCAACCCTGGAGCTGCCATCGCTTCCCCTCTTTTCCTACAATTCCCTCCGTTTTGCCATCTCCTGAGTCAGGGAATTTGCGGTGGTATTTGCTGCTCCATCAAACTTCTATCTCTCCATCTGTCTTTCCCTCTTCTACGAGCAAGTAGATCTACTCTTCGTGTTTGCTGAAACCAGCGCAACCATGCCGCAAGGGGAGACTGAGCCCCTCCTCCCTCGCTATGAGGAGGACACGACCCTCCAGCGTCGCCTGCATCAGAAACTGCACACCTACCAGATGATCCGGGCCCTCTCGGACGGTTACATGCCTTCCACGGAACAGGTGATTGTCAACCTCCGCACCCTGCTGGCTTCGGATGTGCTCTCCACCCAGACCCATGATGTGGGCTCCGTAGGTCGTCAGATCATCCGCGATTGTCGCCTGTGGATTCAGGTCTTCATCGAATTCCTGAAGGAGAAGAATGAGGATGACAAGCTGCAGGAGTTTCTGTGGCATCTGGCTCGATCGCGCGCCTCGATTGACCCTAACAAGATCCAGCAGCAGGCTCGCCAGAGTAGGGTGAGGGCCGATACCAAAGCCGGTCAGTACACATCTCACTCCTTTTCTACACCATGGACGGTTTTAGTGGACTAAGGTTGTCGCTAACTCTGCGGATGCAGCATACGACAGTCTACGTACCGTGGGAAGCCTCCTGCTGACCAACTCCGACTTCCGCCTCTTCATGGACGATTTGACTACTGTTGGCCGGCAGATCTTCTCCGACACGGCCTTTTCCTTGTCCAGCGCATCTCAGCAGATTGGCGAGCAGTTGAAACCGTCCGAGGAGGAGGCCCAAGCGTTGCAGGGTGCAGGTGCAGATGAAGGTCATACACCCACGGGTGAGGACCTGCGACACGAAGCGACTGAGGTGGCTGAGATTGCCGGGAATGGCCTGGCTCGCACCGGCAAAGATGCAGTCAGCAGTGCAAAGGAGCACCTCGCTGGCCGTGAGAAAGAGGCTTTGCTGTACCGACTGAAGCGGACCGTCCTTAGGCTCAAGGATCGTACAGACTACTCGGACTCGATCTCAACCTTGGGCCAGCTGGTTCGTCGGTATGCTCAAGCCTACGTGAACGCCGCGTCGGATGTCGTCACAGCGGCGGAAGAAGATGTCGACGTCAATGCGGACCTCAAGCAGGCGATGCAGCACTTTTGGATCTTGTTGCAATCTTTCGGTGATGCTGAGGAATGGAAGGCTCTGGAGGAGCGCTTCGAGACGGTGTTGCAGCATGCCAACTCCGATCCTGAGTTTGAAAAGTTCCTCTCGGAAACCGGCCACGTCGTCCAGGAGATGATGACCGATCCCAACTTCTTTGACAATGCGGAAGAGAAATTCGATGAGCTTAAGGAAAAGTCTAAGGAGGTCAAAACCGAATCACGGTTCAGGCAGGACGTCGATGCTTT